AGCCTAAGGCGTTGAAGCTGAGGTCATATGCAAACAAGGCAGGTCAGGTTCTCGATCTGGTTCACAGCAGAATACTCTGACACTGAAGTCTACACCACAGACTATGTCTTTTTTTTTTATTACGATGTTTCTGTTTGGTGTTTTCCTGACTTCAAACAGCAAAACTAGATGCTGTGAGAAAGTTAGTTTTTGAAAAGAACAAGGCATGCATGAGTTTGGTTGAAAAGAAATGTTCTGAAAACTGTCAGAAGAAGATTACTAAACCCATTTGGTCAAAAATAATAATCCTTTTCAAATGAAGGGAAGGTCAGAAGACCATCCAAACCAGCCTGGCTCTACGTGAAAAAGTAAGTTCTTAATCTTGAATTAACTGTGATTCACAACATTTCTGTTTTGGACGACTGAGTTTGATTTTTCTGACAGACCCTGTAGGATCAAGAAATCACATAAACAGAGCCTGTCTATCAGTGTGAATTAGGGAATAAACCCTGAAAACATGATGCCTTCATCTGAAGGGATTCAAGAACATGTCACAAACAAAGGTTTTGACATCTACCTGACTAAACTGGGTAGCAAAACCTTTTCTGTTTTGTACCTTTAAGACATTCCTCCCATGAGTTCAGCTAAAGGCCTTTAGAAACATCTGAATTTACGTAGCACCTTCCCAGTGATACTGACATCTCAAAGCACTTTATGCTGGCGTTAGCAAAACGAGCAACACAGGAGCTCCATTCATTTTCCTTGACCCTGATTGACTGTACCCTTAAGAGCAAAGATAAGGAAGACTGTATTAACTTCTGTGGTAATCCCAAGAGGTTTCACATTGATGCATATTAAGGTATAATTGGTGTGTTAACTGTTAAATAGACAGAAGTGTTTTTTTATTGAAAGTCTCAAGTATTAACCCTGGAGTCCACTGTACCACTTTATTTGAATAACCAATCAAGTAATATTTAGGTTAAATGTATGTTTTTTCAACAACAACAACAACAACAAAAACTCATAAAAATTAAAACAACATTCTCATAATGTTCAACGTTACGCTCAATTTGTTCCAGAAGTCAGAATAAACTGAGGTGAGAACAAAGTCACACCCAAAAATGGAAGCATTCTAGCTGCAAGTGAGAAAACCAAGGCTTTGCTAATTGTTGCGGTGCTAACTACTACAATGCATGCTGACATATTTGTCATATCTACTTGTGCATTAAAACACAAAGAAACACTTTCACAATAGATATTTTACACTTTACTGAGTACATGTGCCAATATATGCCATGTCTACAACATTTCATATGTGCAACAGGCATACTGGATACTAAACCTGAGGTTGGTTGGCGACCTCTGACCTGGAATTCCAAATTTAGCAGGCATTCTTGTATTTCTTCAACTTGGACGATGTGAGTTCTGAATACAAACAGAATGCACCTTGATTAGACTTTCATGGACAAACAATTAACTCAATATATAACACTGTTTAAATATTACATGTGTAGTGATATAATGCTGTATAACAAGGTCAATTACAGAGGGTTAACAGCTTTTCTTCAAACAACAAAACCAGTTTGTTCAGGTTAGCCTTTTTTACACGCTCAAGCTTCTGCTAGCCATGCCCGACATGCACATTTGCCCAAAGAACTGGTCATTCTAAAACTTGTTCTGGTCCTTTCTCCAGTCCATATTCATATTCCTGATAAAATTATTATGTAAGCCTGAACATTTTGGGAGTATTCCAAAACGCATAGTGGTGACATAATGTAACATCCCTAAAAAGCAACAGTAGGCTAAGATAGAAATCTAAAAATGTGGTGTATGGGCAAACTGATGCGGGGTTTCAAGCAATTTTATTGTTTCTGAAACAAACATTTTGCCTATAGGACATGCACATGTAAATTTACTGGTGATGATTTTAGCTTTAGTTCGACCATGTCTCCATTGTCACCGTCTTTACATTTTGTGAATGTTCCTTTAAAGGATTACATCATCCTTTTTTGCTCCTTTTCTTCCCCTGGTGATTCTCAGTGCTGAGCCTTTTCTGCCCAGAGACAATTGGTTAATTCACCGGTGCATAACACCGCCACCTCCCGATCCACAGTTCCCATCGCCGGCTGCGAGGCTGCTGTGTTTTTATTGGTGAGTTTGGGTTGTCATGGCATCTGACATCACATACCTCCATGATCGGATTACAGCGACGCTGCCAGCAAACTTCCACCACACAAACTATGTCATTTTCACAGCTCGTTAGGCAAATCTTATTTTTATTCACGGATGGAAAGTTCAGAGCACATGCAGGATTTTTAGATGTTGACGGCAAATCCCAAACTGGCTGGGTTAAACGCTGGTAAGAAAATAAAAAGTAAAATAAATTAAAAAAAATGGGGCGACCATTTACAGGGTTACTCTGCCATCTAGTGGTGGAAATACAGAAGGAAAACCATTGAAATTTAGGAGCTATCGTGCTAAAACAAACAAACAAACAAACAAACAAACAAACAAATAAACAAACAAACAAACAAACAAGCAAAAAAGAACTATGAAAATCCTAAATTCTTTATTAAGAAATATTCACATATAAGTGTGTAAACAAAAACGTGTTTTCCAGATATTTCCTTCGGATATTAATTAATGTCGACCAATGCATTTCAGGTGTTGTGAACTGACATTTTGCATGCGAATGTGATAGTTAGCTAGTTGGAAAGAGTTTCATATATTCTAGATATTCTCAGCCCACACAAATGAGAGACCAAAATGCTAAAAAGTCAGAAACACAAAAGAGAGCAAAAAATAAAATATCACAACTGAGATGGTCATTATAATGTTTACTATTATCATGCCGTCATAAGATAATGTTGCGTAGTCAATGTTATGTTTCAGTGTCCAGATCTGCTTCAAGACAGTCAAATGAGTTTTTATTTGAAACCTTTGGTAAAATTAAGATCGTCAACTTATTTTTTCTCCTTTATTTATGGTTTTATTTTTATTTATTTATTTATTTTACATGTAGAAAGAAGTTTTGGAACTTCCAAGCAGTTTCTGACATTATTAAAAAAAATAAAAAATTAACAAATAAAACCAAAAACTAAATATTCAAACAAGAAAACAATAAAATTCACATGCATACAATTTATCACCTCTCCTGAGCTGAATGCTTTGGTAAAATGGTTGAATTGTGTGATGATGAAGACCAGACAAGCAGTCTGACCCAGACCTTTGGTAAAATCCTTTGTAATCTGCTATCTGCCCTCTTAAAGCTAACGAAATGAATTTATGATAATGGAGGACATTCTTGACATGGAGGTACATGATATGTGTCCTGAAATTCTGTTTTGAATTTCAGTTTTTTTTCCCTTTCCTTTTCTTTTTTTTTTTTTTTTTTTTTTTGGAGCCTGTCGCCCGTTGGGCATCAGGGTGACCTCATCATTCTCAGAGACCAGGTAGGACTAATCATTTATTCAACTACCACTAGCTGCGTTTTCATTAACCGCAAAATTACGCAAATTTAAAATTCGAAAATAAATTCGCTTAGAAACACGCCAATTAAAAAACAAACAAACAAACAAACAAATGGGAAACCCTCCCCACCCCCTGTATTTTCCGATTAAAGTTTTTTTTCGGCCTTTTCTAAATTGATGCATTTTGCAAAACCGTCACGGAAACGTTCTTCACGCGAGTCACGTGATCAACGGCAGAACGTCACTACTGGCAAAAACGACGAAGAAGAACCAGGAAGGGCTAAGAGAATGACGGTTTGTGTATTCTATTTCTTTTTTCTGGACACAACGTGGTACAGTTCATAAAAATGTGTGTCACTTGAAAGTATTGATTCTTAGCTCTAATGTAAAATTACCGACTCCCATTTCCTCAAAAAGCTGGTCGGTCCAACCACCGACTGTAACGGTAATTGTAATGGCTGCCATGATTTTTAACGACTTGTCGCCTGAATAAGCTTATTCGCGTGATTTTAATTTATTTTCTTAATTACTGGAAACACAGCAGTTGTGAAAATTTTTTTTTTTTTTTTTTTTTTCAAAATTAGCAGATTATCGACAGATTTGCGCACATTTGCAATGGAAAGGCAGCTACCGTTGCTCCTGAATTCAGAGAGAAAAAGAAAACATTTATCGTAATGATTTGTCTTGGAACAACTAACAAATCTGATAAAGTTGCAGAAAGGAAGTAAATAATCTTACACTTGCCAATTCGCTAACAAAGGCTAAAATAATAAAACCCACCAGCACCCCAGCGACATTAGATTAATGCCAGAGGGTTTAACGTACTGCAAATGCACAGCTTCCCTCCCTGCTGGGACATCACATTAGAACCTGTAGTCGTGAACTCACCTCAGGCAACATTTACCTGACACACCAGCAGGAAAGCCATGTCGCCTTTCAGCCACCAGCAGGCACTCTGCGTCTATCACAGCAAGCAGTCTTACAACCATAAAAGTGTAGCTCTTATGTTTTCAGTTTGTCCCCTAAAACAGAAGAGGTCACATGGAAATTCCTCCCCTTATGATTTAAAAATGATAAAGTTGATCAGTTTCCTTCTTTAATTAACCCAGTAAATCAGGTCAGTTGTGTTTACATGAATGGGGCTGTCATGGTTTGGTAGCCTTGATCAAAAATACTACAGCTTTACTGTATCACCAAATGTATAGACATTTAAAACTAAAAGGTTAAATAACAATGGAAAATGTTAAGTACAACACAAAGTACTTGCTACTACTTTTCTACTTATAACCACATTTATCAAGAGAACAGATTTTATTTTGTTTATTAAACTTGGCTAAACGTTGTAATCGTTATTAAAGAAAGTGACTAATAGCTGTTCTAACAACGGAGAATGAATTTGTTCAAACGAGCCCAAAATAAAGTGCCTTTCTCTTAATACTTCAAACATGTAAAATCCCTTTTAAGTTTTGGATCTACTACAAATGACATTCGCTTCCAACAAAAATCAAGCAAAAAAAAAACTTCTTTATGTGCTTGATTTTAGTTTTATTTTTACATCCTTGTCCTGCACGAACTTTTGACTCAACGATTTTGCCCCACGTGTCAAAAAGTTTAGAGATTGTTTAATACGTTGCAATCACTCATTCGTCAACATTCATAAGATGCTCATTTTTTTCAGGGTTGTCACCTATACCTCTATTTTGTTATGTTTTATTATTTTTATGTATTTCCTTCATGCAGAGCAGCTTGATTTTACACAAACTGTTTCGATGAAAGGATCTCCTGCTACTCGTATCCTGTAATCCTTGCTGCCGCGACCTCTGACCCCTGGGTGGCTTCTTGCGTAAGAAGGAAAGCACACGGGAACGCACCCTGGCCTCTTGCTAGGTAAGCTCATTAACAGCTATTGCTGGACGCTCATGCTGGCAGCGGGACCCAGAAATAGACTTCTCTGTTGACAACTAGATCAGGACGACGTGGTCACGTTCCGGACTTGTTGTTTTATCTGTCGTCCAGCGGCCTCGGGTTGTGAGACTTTTCATTGACATGTAGTTGTAGGAAATAACATTTGCAGATCAGCGTCTTCAGGTGTAGTGAGGTCGTCTGCTTGAGAGATCAGAACCAACACAGACAAAACAACCAGACATTTTCTCATCTTTAAAATTTCATGACTGCTGCCGCAGAAATGTTAGCTCCCACAGCGACGCGCCGCATGCCTTCCTTGAACTACCTTCTCCTCCAACCAACTTTTAAATCTGGAAAATATTTTTAGCTGATTACATCTTTGTTGTTGTGTTTTGTTGCTGCACATGTCAGATAGAGTCAGGAAAAATAAAAAAAAACAGTCTGTCCTCTGCCACTCCCTTTTCCTTCTGGGCTAAAGTGAGAGGATGCAATAATTATAGCTGTCAGTTTTTGTCCTGCTGTGGTTGAATTGCTGTTGCTGTTTTGGTGCATAGAGTCCAAACAGCAGAAATACTTTTAAAAGGATTTTTAAGATTTTTCTTAGGTTAGGTTGTGTGAAATTACTATCAGGAATAGTTCCCTTTCCTGTTGACTGTTTTAGAAAGATTTTAAAGGGGCAGTGTTATGTGATCTCAAAGCACAAAGTGCCATTTTATAGCTCCCTCGAGTAAACTGTTATCTTCAGTTGTTATGAAAATGCTACATATATCAAATATGCCTTAATGCGCTGAAATCGGGCCTCTGTCTCTTTAAGAAACTACTGCTCTTTCTGAAACGCCGCCTTCAGGAAGTCATCACAACATCTCATTAATCCTTGAACAACATTTTCACCAGTGTTTCACTGAGAAGTAGCTCCTATAAGGAGCTCAGTAGATGCTCAGTTCCACCAGGTGTTTGCTAATTGCTGCTGGCTAGTCTGAAGGAGCTGAGTGTGTAAGTCTCGGAGGTGGGGTGCTCTGTGAGGTGGAAACTGCAGCTGAAGTTGAAAATCCAAGTCATCTTCAATTTTTAATAGTTACACAAGTAAATGTAACTAGTTACTACCTAACTCTGACTACCTGTCACACTAATTGAGATTAAAAGAGACTGAACTTTTCACAGATTGTCTGTCTCATAACAAACTGTTGCGACATGGTGACAGTCTGAACAAACATGCACACATATTCTTTATAAAAGTTACATACGGCAGCTTTAATGTGCCATTTTTTTCCTTGCCATGAATTTTTGTTTCTTCATTTTATTTTACAAGTTAAACAAAAATAATACATTGCAATAAAATCCTTGTCTTTCCCAGAGACGCATTTCTTCTTTAAATGTCCACTATGAGCTGGGATCTTTTTTTTTTTTCACAGCTTGCATGCAGCTGCGTGTGCGCTCAAGGCAAGGAAAGACGGCGCTAACTAACCGAGGCATTAGAGGACAGCGGCCTGCCATGTGACCGTGCTTTCAGGGATTGGCTCACTGCAGATGTGACATCACAGAGCTTCCTCCTCCCTCTCCTCCTCCTCTCCTTCCTCCTCCTCTCCCACTCTTCCTCTGCCTCTCTCTGCCCATCTAGCTCTCTGTACCGCTCTCTCTTCCTCCTCAGCATCCCACCGCCCCCCAGCCCCTCCTCACCCCTTCACAGAGATGGCGTGTGTCGATGCTGCTCAGGCGTCCGGGGCCTAGTGCACTCAGGGAGGACACCCCTCTCCCCTCCGTTCCTCTTGCTTCCCCCCGTATTCGGATTGTTTATTCCCTCGGTCTGTCTTCTTGCTTGTGGTCCTCCAAGTGTGTCGCCGTTTGTCGTTGTGCCTCCTTGTGCGAGCCCGGCCCTCTCGAGGGTGGAAGAAATCAACATCGTGCTTCACAGCGGTGGAGGGAGGTGGGATGAGCTGTGCACAATTAGCCATGCCCTGCCCAGGCTCCGTTTTGACCGCCTAGATCTTTCTTCTTCTTCTTCTTCTGTCCACGTGTGCACCCCAGAGGGCGACGTAGGATGAAAATCTGCGACTATGATGCAAGGTAAACGTTCCGCGCAGTGCCTCTTCCACTCGCAGTTCTCGCCACGTCCCCCTCTTGCCCTCTCGTGTCCCGCTGGGTCATTAAAGCTAGTGAATCCGTCGGTGTGATCCGTCGTGCTGCGCGGAGCGAAGGAGGTATGTGCATGACCGGTTTAGCACCATGGCTGCAGCAGTGCGCGAGTGTGACATTGTGTGTGTGACAGGTTTACAGAGGGCAGTGGTGTGATGTAGGTTTAGTGTGTTTCCTTTTGCATTGCTGTTTTTGTATGTTTTAAGACGGTACGTCCACCTTGTAGATAACCGATGAACAGGCTGCTCTGGTTTCAGACTGTCTGGTTTCCGTGTCAACATCAGTTGAGAGATGGATATCACCCAATTTGCCGTATGCAGAGAGTTTTTGCCATGCACTTCCAGCCGCCTGGTGATGGAAGGTGGCTAATATTAGCAAAAGGCCTGCAGTCATCCTGCTGTGATGATGTGCTCACTTGTCATGTGGGAATCCGCACTCAACACAGACGTCTGTAAATTCATCGCTGTTGCATAGTCCCAGAAGAGTATTGAACTTTTTCTGCAATTTTTCAAGTTACAACTGCAGACTTAAAGCTGCGATATGTGCAAGTTTTATTAAAGAAAAGTGTTTTTTTTTTACATGTTATTTAGCTTTCACCATGTCTTGACAGAATAATATCAGCCAGATAATCTGTGAAAAGATCAGTCACCTCCCTGAGCTACAACAGCCGTCAGACGAAATGCACAGCTCCCGACCAAAAACAACCAATCAGAGCCTGGAGGAGGGCATTTGCGCTGTCAGTCATCCTTGTGAATGCGCTGCTAAATGTGCTAAAGCCAGAGAAACAGGAAAAGATCGTACAGAAAAAGAGTTTATCCGCCGTCATCTGTGGAGATGCTAACTGGCATTACCATTCATGACAGGCTTTGCTGATGGGGAGAAGCTGCATTATAGCATTACTGCAGTAAACTTGGAGCTCGTCTTGTTTTATTTGTCATAAAAGGATTATCTAAATCATAAGTCTTTCCAACCTGTGCCAGAAGCACAGTGGATGCCAAAGTTATGACCTGTGATTAATTTTTTTCCTCTAAGAAACAGTAGTTGGTTTGGTAGCTGCTGAGTTTTCTTCTATCCTGGGCTGTGGTTGGAAATTATTCTGTTTTGGGAATCAGGTTGACCTTTTGTAGAGATATGTATCCACTGCTGGTAAAACAAAGAAGTATCTTTAATGCTATAATATCTGAAAGACGAGTAAGTGAAGGACAGGCTCAACGTCTCAACGCTCTACTGCCTCCAGGAGGTCCAGACTCAAATGGAGGTCATATCGGTTAACAATGCAGAAAAGATGAACTAAAATGCCCTTATTTAATAAAAACAAATTCTCCATGTGAGTGAGTCAGAGATTTGCTCTCTTTTATCCAAAACAGAGAGTAGTAAAAACTGCTTAACACGTCAAGTTTCAACTTACTTTTTGTTGTGCTGCGTCTGCAAAAAGTAAAAGTAGCATTAACTGAAAGTTTAATGTTGGAAATGTTGTCATTTGCGTTTAACATGAAGTCATTTGTTGACAATATAATCAGTGTTTAGTCTGTGCTCTTCAGTTCAAAGTGAACCTAAAACATTACATTTTATTATTCCCAGAACTTCCGTCTATGAAAGAAAAGGTAATAAAATAAAATCAGATATTAACAATTTTACAATAAAATTAAGCGTCAGATCTAAAGTGTACTGAGGCAAGACGATGCAAATAAAAAACAAGCAAAGTATGTAATCTGTACAGAAATCAAAGTTAATTAATTTTTAAAGTGTGTCTTAAATCTGATCCAAACTGGCATAAAGGAGACCCTTACTCAAGTGTATTTATAGATTCTTAATGTTTAATGAGCCTCTCCTCAGGCGGGCCTCATAAATGGGTTACCAAAACAAATCTTGCTGGAATACAAAGAATGATCTGCAGAGATGTGGATTCAGCTCCTCCCATCATTGTATTGAACAATAGCGCTAAAAAACCAATCTTGTAAAGTGTTGTGTGTTTATTATTGAGATAAGGTTCATCGGGTGAGATGTTTTCTGGCACTAATCTGATAAACAAAATGTCATACCTTACCACACCATGCCATGTTATACCAAAACATACCATACCACACTATGCCACACACATATCATGTAATACCATACCAGGACATACCATACTTTATTCATAAGACTTTAAAATAATGCTTGGCTGACCAAAGCGCTGTACAACACAGGCATAACCCCAATAACCATGACATAATTTAAAAAAACACACAAAATAAACACAATAAGTCATTCAATGTCCGTCACCCACTGAATTAAAATCCAATAAATAAGAGTGAGTTTTCTTGCCTCGTTTGCAGAGGCACTTCATTCCAGAGCAACTGAAGGAACGATTCTCCCTAAAATATTTTGCCGCCTCCATGCGTTTTCTGAAAGGGCCAATTAAATAAAGGTAGTAGAAGTCAGCCCTCCTCTGTTACGCCTCTGATGCACCAAGTGATTGCTACAGTAAATTTATCCACCATTGTTGGCACGGGGAGATTTTATGCATAGTGTTGACGTCGATGTCACATGACTCCTCCGGTCACATCCTGCATTGCCAGCCCATTGTTTTTTTGAGCATGGAGTTATGTGATTTATGAATGGTCAGGCAGAGCTCAGAGGCGGCTCATGTTTGAAGGCTCGTGACTGAAACGTTTGGCTAAACAGGCTACGGAAATCTGGATCCGCATCGTTGCTCCTCTGTCATTCCTTGAGCACCTCTAGTGAAGCCTTACTTGACCTTATCTTCGGTTTTCTTTCTGTTTTATGTAGGAAATAAGGGGGTGGAATTGAACCATTACCATTTCAGTCTGTGCTGCAGCTTTCTTCACATAGCGGAGAGTTTGTTCCAAATCGATATCTTCATTTAAACAGAAATATTTCTAACTGTGCATTTCCTCTTTTTTTTCTGGAAAATGACATTCCTCCAAGGCTTACTACACTGTTAATCCTGTTTATTTGCTGTTGTATAGCTTTTATTGACAAGGCTATTGACTGAATATAAGGCACTCAAGCTGTAAATAATATTTACGATGACGTTCCTCTCCATTTTCTGCATCAGGACTGAAAAAACGAACCAGGAAAGCCCTGGGCTTACAGAAGAAAGACAAGAACACAGATGCAACGTGAGTTTGCTCTGATGCCTCCATATTTATGCTGCAGGGGCCACTCTCTAAATGCAGCCTAATGACTGAGACAACGAAGCAAAAATGACAAACTGAGGAACTTTTTAGACAACCTCCAACATCCTTGTGTGGAAAGCGTTTGCTAGATTTCAATATGCTCATACACGATACAAGAAAATATTTCAGAGTAAATATTTTTGCAAAGTAAGGAACATTTTGTAATCTGTCAGAGTCAGGCGTTATTTACAAAGCACTCATTTTTAGCAGGTTTGAATGTTTTTCTCCGGTGTAACTTGTCTGTCATATTTCAAACAGGAGCTCACCTGACAAAGAGGGAAGCGAAAGCAGAAAGAAAGGAAAAGTACGTACAAAGAATGCTTCCTATGTTTGTGGCCATAAACTAAAACATAAAAAAAAAGTCAGATTCTTCCATTTTGTTATTTGTAAAACAAAGATTAAGCCAAAATGGAAGGAGAAGTATGAAAGAAAATAAGCATATCGTTTATTATTGAATGTCTTCATTCATTTTCTTTCAAACCTGGTGCTGACTCAGCATGTCTGTCTTCGTCTTGTCTGTGTGAAGAAGTTGGTTGCAGATGCCTTGTGCGATGCTGCAAACCTGCTTCACCTGATTTCCATTCACTGCGAGAGGAGTTTTTAAACCACCAACATTGCTTTTGTTTCAGAAAAAGGCCAATGGAGCTCCAAACGGTTTCTACGGGGAAATCGACTGGGACAGATATGTAAGTCTCCGCAGCGCATGTCTCGTTTGTCTACCCACAATCCTCCTGCTGTTTGCGCGTTCTGAAGCGAGCCGACGCTCTGTAAGCTCTGGGATGAAATGGTCCCGGCGTTCATGTCGTGTGAGTCAGGCTTTTAAATACGCTGTGTGAAGAGAGTTACAGCTGAACGTTTTGGAGCTCGACCAGCGAGCTGAATGTCTTGGGCAAGACATCTGTGAAGCCAAACCTCCGTTTGCGACAGCACCTTACTCTGCCTCTGCCGCTCCGTTCTCTCTCTCTCGCAGGCCTCACCTGACGTCGACGAGGAGGGTTTCAGCCTGCGGCCCGGCGAGGGAGAGGATGATATCCTTTTAGCGAGACGAGGACAAGCGGCGCTCTCGGAACATGTCGCTTGAGACGCTATTGACTTGTTTAGTGGAGTGACTCTTCAGCTGAGTGCCTTTTAGCGTTAAATGAGACCAATCGATGGTCGTTCCCGCCCCGCCACCCCCGTATGTTTGTCTCTGCAGTCGCTAAAGATACAAAGGAGCATTAAGGCAGGCGAACGCTGTGATCATTCCGCAACTCTTTGGTCACTCCTTCAGCGTACTCCGCTCTACTTCACCCACTCAGCTGTTATAATATTCACCTTTTTCAGCAGATTTCAGGAAGCTTTTAAATCATCTAGAATCCTTGAAGGCTAACTAATTCACCTTGAGTGTAGTTTATACTACAGTATATATCTACTTACACGATGTTGAGAGAATACCAAGTGCTTTTTAAACAACTTTTTTTATTTTTATTTTTTAAAAATCCCTGTTTTCATGATGTTTTTGACCAGAATATCAGTTTCACGGCAGAGGTTGTTGACACCAGGTCTGTCGTTCAGCTGCCTCACCTTTAACTAGGACAGATTTTAACACGTTAAAAAATTTGAATGCCATTCATCACATTTCTCTAGATTCAAAGGCAGAACCTTTGTATTTGCATGTTTCTGGTACGGCCATTAATCTGACGCGCATGTGAGATCCAGAAAAGACAGTGATGGATGATGAAGCTGCTTCTTTTGGCCCACTGGGGGTTAAAATCGGCTTCATAAAACAAGCTGATGGGAAGCTGGGAAAGGCTGTTGTTGCAACTTAAGGAAAATGTCAAGAGGTGCCTTCTTTTAGTTAAAATACGAAAAAAGTGGAAAAAATGACAAGTGGTGTTATTGTGTCGTTACTGTAAGTAGGACATGCACAATGTCTTACATTTTTATAGCTTGACTTTTTGAGAGTAGAAAAATTTAACCTTTACGTCTATGTCAAAATCTTATAGGACAGACACTGTACGAGGAAAACTCTTCCATGCTAACTTTAAACATCTCAAACCACACGTTGTACTACTTCTTCTACTTAAATATTTTTTTTTGGTAGGTTTTCAGGAAAATGTTTAAAGGTTTTGGCCTGTACAGATTTCTGCTTCACTTCAGCCTTTTCGGCTAATTTAAGCTCATCCCTTCATCTCGTATGATCAATGGGCACACACACGGACCGGTCCTTGAGACCTCGTCATGCAGGACTAGTTAGAACCAGAGCAGGAGCAAAACTATGTCTTCTGTTCTTCCCTGTTTTCACTCGGGGTGTTCTCAAACCTGATAGTCGAACCGATGACTCGGTTCGATCTGGGACCAAAATTCCAACATTTGCGAAGTTTTCAGCTGATGCTGTTTGCTTTCACACATGCACTGTGTCAAACGATCCAAACCACAGGCTGGTGCTGGCCTGTGGTGGCGCTGCACCAAGAAATACTAAAGGAAGAGACATGAAGATGAAGAAGACGACATGAGCATAATTTCCTTTGTCCCAAAATGTAAACGAAAGTGGGATAGCATCAGATTTTAGTGGTTGTATGATTTCATTTCTCCCACTAGCACTATCTCCCGTTTGTTTTGGTTGTATTTACCCAGAATGCCCTGTGCCTCCTCCAGTCTGCTTGTAATTCACATCTGCATTCAAACCACAGCAGAGTTATCTTCAACTGAACCGAACCAAGACCTACATATTTATTCGGACCAGAGTTCGCCTCTTTGGTCCGAGTCAGATTTCGATTGCGCATTCACAGCTCGCAAAACAAACCGGACTTTCTAGGCTAACAAGCAGACAGCGAGAGCAGCTTCAGGTCGAATTCATCACACTTTGCCCTTGACAAGCCTTCACCGGCTTCCAAAGAAAAGCACTTCTTCTCCTCCAGCGACTCGGACGACGACGAGGACAGCAAGAAAAAGTTCAAAATCCGGATCAAGCCGCTGGTGGCGGACAGCGCCCGGTGCGTCCCCCCATCGATGGACGAGCTGAAAGCCTCCGTGGGAGGTCTGGCACTCTCTCCTTCCCTGGTGAGCTGACATCGACAGAGTTCTGCTTCATGACGTCTGTTTCAGGGTCTTACTGTGTTTATTCTTTCTGTCAACTCACTGCTTTCCTTTGTAGAGGAGAAGTCCGGTAAGCTCCTTGTGTTTGTTTTTTTCTTCAAATGCCTCACCATCATAAAGGACTGTGGTGGAATGTCATTGTCTCCCTGTTTTTGCATGTAGATTCTGTTTTAACATGCCCCTTTTTAGCACTAAAACCCACCACTTTTTTTTTCTGTTAATTCTTTCTGTTTACTTAAACTTTACTTCAACCTTTCTGGCAAAGCACATGTTTGTTACATAATGCAAAGTAAGAAAAGGACACACAGGAAGCTGTGAACTGGTCTCAGTTCAGCTTCTGCATGCCAAGTGGGCCGTTGCAGCGTGATTCGACGTCGACCAAAGCGTTGCATTATGGGAGCTTTGCGGTTGAAGTAAAGAAGATGTGTTGTGTCCAGTTTTAGTTGTCGTCCCGTTGACTGATTTGTCACTCACTCTCTGACCCAGGTCTGTTCTCTCTTCCTTTTTGCTGGTCTCAGAGACGCAGTCCGGTGAGTTTCTCTGGCTCCACCTGCTGGTTGGAGGCCTGAAAGACAACCTCCTGTTAAGTTGTAACAGTGCACAGATCACACAATGGACGAGTATTTTCACTGATCATTTAGAACAAGAAGCATTCAAAAGGTTAACAATGCAGTGAATAAAGCTGATGTTTTCTAATTCAAATAGAGTATGAGAAATACAATTATATTCAAACCATGACTGAGTGATTCTACGTGACTGTAGAAATAATGTTTTGATGTTATTTCTTTCATAGATTTATCAGAATGCACCGTAGATGATTTGTATTGCTAACATCTGTTCTCTGCTTTTCCACTTTGCAGGGGATGATAAAAAGAAACCTCTCATGTGAGTACATTTACTTGCATCAATATTTTATTGTTATGTATTATTATGTTTATCATTTATTTATTCACCAAATTAGGCCATTGTTTTGACTTTTACTGCCTTACAAAAATTTATAACCGGCTGGAAAAAGTTTGAAAACACAATCTTCAATGCAGTTTATCAGTATTTTGTGAGAGAGGGCAACACAAAGAGGTATATAATTGGGAAGCTGAAGAAAAGCAATACTTGTTTTTCTAAATTTAAAATGTTTCTTGCATTTCAACTCAACCCTTTCACTCCAAAATCTGATGAAGCCGCAATCTTTTGCAAAATAGCTCAACCTCAGTAACAACAGATAAAGAACATCTTTAAGGATAATCTCTCAGCAATTTTAAGCTACAAATTGCTTAAAATTGTTGGAAAAAAAATGTTGAAAAAAATGTTATTTTTTTTCAACATTTTCAACAAAATGTTGAAAAAAAGGAAAACTTTTTCTAAGGCAGTGTGTATCATTACACTTTATATTGGTCACTCTGTCAATCTTATCAATTTCTTATTTAGTTGGTTAAATAGTTTTCGTTGCCATAGGTGAAGAGATTGCCCGACCCAGACGTTCGACCCCAACACCAAGTTATGCATCTGAGATGCCAAGGTGATCCTGCAAACAGCTCACAAGTGAATATTTTAATCAAAGCCCTGCTAGAGATAATATTCCTACATGATCTTCAAAAGTCTGGACAAGTCTTGAGTTGACTTTTTATTGTTTTCCAATGTCTGGAGAGGTTTGGAAATTTAGTCTGGAAAATCTTTTGAGTTACCATTCATTGTATTTAAATGATAAAAACATGATTTTTTTTTAACAATGATGGGCTTTTTCCATTGATTTGATTCATGAAAGTTTCATGAAACATTCTGGAACTTACCAGGTGCAACGTGCCTGTATAATGAGGTGACTTGTGACAAGGCACTTACCCAGAACTTTCATGTAATCTTTATGGATCTTTTCTAGAACTTTAGCTATTTCTGAAACTTTCATGCACCTTTTCTAAATGTTACCATCGTCTTGTAGTTCTATTAAGAATTCATGCAGCTTCTTTCGTTTAACTTACCTTGAAATGCTTCGGTCCTTTCCCAGGATCTTGCTGTAACTTACTAGCCATTTGTGAGAACTCACCCTGTTCCATGAATCTATCGAGATAACTAGCTATCATTTAGCTATCTAGATAACTAGCTTTCTATCTAGCTATCAAGTTAGATAGCTATCTAGCTATCTAGCTATCTAGCTATCTATCAAGCAAGCACCATTCTGGATATCTACCTAGCTATAAAGTTATGTAGCTGTCTAGATATCTATATAGCTATTAAATTAGCTAGATATCCAGAGTTAGCTATGTAGCTATCTGGCTGTCTATCAACATAGCTAGCTATCTGAATATCTATCTTCCTATTAAGTTAGCTAGCTATCCAGTTTAGATAGCTCTGTGTATCCTACATAGCTAGCTAGCTTAGTTAGCTAGCTCAATGCAATTTCAGAGAAAGTACCAGATAAGTTCAGAAAAAGTTCCATGGAAGTACTTAAAAGTACATAATCTCATAAATTTTATTGCTGAGAACATAGTTCAGCAGTACTCTGTCAAGAAGAACACATATGTTGATGTAAAGTCCAAACAGACATACCTAAAGATGATCATTTCTGATTAGATCACCCAGAACTGGAACTATTTGGCTCAGATGAATGCTGGCACTGTTTTAGATGAATGTGTTTTCTCTTGCAGTGCCACTGCGCCACAGAACGTTCCTGCTTTGTTCAGGCTTCCTTCAGACAGCAGATATGCCAGATATGACGGTCTGTCTTCCACTAATTAGACATAACTTCCGATATGTGGTTATGTGGTGTTTCCTGCTCAACTCTGTCTTCTTATTTGTTGCGGCACTGTCAGTAATCCGTAGCGATGCATGGGGAGAACCCAGACCGTGTTCAGAATCCCAGCTGAGCCGAAGTTTTCCAACAGGAGGTGAGTAGGCGGACCTTTGTTGTGCCAGTAAATCCAACTGATCTAATGTGTGTGCGTGTTTGTGTGTGTGTTCGGTGATGCTGAACTGTCTCTGTTGCAGCTCCTCCACCGCTTCCTCCGAAAAACTTCCCCTCCAGAGGTCGGTACGGCTTTCCATCAGATCTGGCAGGTAAATTTCCTTCTGAATTCATCGGTGGAAGTCGGTCTCGCGCTATGATTTAACGGCTACTGTTACAACTCGTTCTTACAGCTGATCTGCCCAACGGCAGGGCGGCACGCAGCTCCGCCCCCATCTATCTGAACGTCCTGTCGCCGGCCTCATACCGGGGGTCACCAGGCCCCGATCTGGACGACGTGTTCGGCCCCGCCGACAGCCCCAGACCGAGGGAGGATGCGCCGTCTCCCAGATGGGTCACGTTCACGGACGATCGACCTCCACCCCCCGACGAGCCGGCTCCCCCGCCACCACCGGACTCTCCTCCCCCGGACACGCCCACCTCCACGCCTTCCACGCCCGGCCTCTCACCTGGACCGCCCCCGAACGAGCCCCCTCCTTCTCCACCGTGCTTTTCCCCTGGCTCCTCCCCTCCTTTCACTCCGGTAGACTCGCCCCCCTCCATCGTTCTTGGCCCTCCACCCCCTGATGAACCAGCTCCCCCCTTACCTCCCGACTTCTCCCCTTCCGAGTCTCCTCCTGCTTTCCTCGAAGAGGAAGGAGTCGACGAGGAGGTTCTACAGTTCGCAGGATACGCCTGCGCCCCTGCTCCCATCAGCCCCGTCCCCCCTCTGCCGGCAGAGCGGAGGTCCCCGCGGGCGGCGGTCACGTCTCCTTTAGCCTACGGGACTCTGGGAGGAAAGAGGACTCCAGAGGGAGCGTACCAGAGAGATGAAGTACCAGAAGTGACAGGCTCTCCCAGAGAGCTGACACCCAGCTTCAGGGGAACGCCGCCTCCTCTTCCTCCATCTGCGTACCGGTCCATCATGTCTTCCCCTGGGCCCTACTCTGGCAGCAGTGAGTGTTCTGCTCTCTTTGTAAATATGAAGCCCACCTTCAGGTGAATTTAAAGGGGCAGTGTCATGTAAAGTTGACTTTTTTAAGCCTTACACCATTATTTAATGTTGGTCTCTCATCAAAATCATACCTAGACTGTTGCTTTGGCTCTTTCATGCATGTTTGAGAAATCCTATATCCTCCTGTGGCAATTTTGGCTTCAGATTGCATAAAGGGGCATTATTATGTGTTTTCCAGGCACAAAGTGCTATTTCATTTCATATCACTATGTTACCTTTAGTCTTTTGTCAAAATGTTCCATATATCAAATGACTTTAAAGAAATATGACTTTGTAATTTAACACCTTGAAATTGGGTCTCTGTCCCTTTAAAAACTCTTGCTATTTCTGAAACTCTGCCTTCAGGAAGTTATCAAAACATGGCTCCTCTATTAAACCTTTAACAACATTTTTACCACCATTGCACTAAGAAGTAGTTCCTATAATGAGCTCAGTAGATGTGCAGCTCCGCCAGATGTTTGCTAATTGCTGCTGGCTAGTCTGAAGGAGCTCAGTGGGGGTGTTGTGGTTGAGGGCCGCTCTGTGAAGGCGGAAACTTGGAAGCTGCTGCTCAGAGGAGGAGCTGTGCCTAGAAGGCGGGGCTAGGTCCACCCAGGCGTTTTTCACAGCTGAATGGTTGCCATGGGAGATTAAAGGATTTCTCAAACATGCATTAAAGAATCAAAGCAAAACTCCAGGTGTGATTTTGATGACGGAATAACATTATTATTAATGATGATTTTACATGATACCGCCCCTTTAATGAAAACATTTTTGACCTTATTTAACCAGTATAAAACTCCTTGAGATCAAAGATCTACTAAGAGTGTCCTGACAGCAAGACACAGTTACAGTAAACGTGGTCCAAAGTCAATAACAATAGCATCATTAAAATAAAAAACTACTTCCTTTGTGTGTTTTTCTTATGAGTTTGGATTTCTGTAGATTTAGAAGTTTGTAAACCTCGGATCATTTGATTTTTGACTCTGACATGAAATAAAGTGTCACCCGGACTCTGCTGCCCCCTGCAGGCCCCTCGTCTCCAGCCCGCCCTGCCACGCCTCAGTCCCGGGGGAGTCCGGTGCCTCCTCCTCCTCCTCCCCGTCCGTCCTCGCGACCGAAGCTGCCCCCGGGGAAACCAATCACAGACCTGGTGCGTAGAAAAACTCCCGGCTTCAGCCTGGAATCTCTCACTTTTTCCAGGGTCGAGACCGAGCAAAGCTCCGTTCTCTTTCTCAGAGTCGGCCTTTCAGCCCCCCAGTTTCAGGAAGCCCTCCGCCTTTTGCCCCCCTGGCCCGCGCCGAGAGCTCCTCCTCCCTGTCCTCCTTCACCTCGCACAGCGCGGCTTCCACTCCCACCTTAGGGCGGGACCTCAGCATGCCCACCGCAGGTACGGAGGCTGCCGCGCGCGCCTCGCCACGGCTCCACGTCCACACGCCGTCTTGCCTCTTGTCGTCGTGTCCTTGCCTCACTGTCTTGTTCGTCTCATGACTCTTTCCTCCTCATGTCTCCGCCCCACCCAGAGGCCTCGCAGCCTCTGGTTTGGTTTGACCACGGCAGGTTTTATTTAGCTTTTGAAGGTGAGTCGCTCTGCGGAGCAGCAGCAGCAGCAGCATCATGAAAGCTCTTCTTCATCTTCTTGCTGCCCATCCCATCTCCTACTCACCCAGATCCCCGAGTCGTGTGGATGTGCAGTGGTGGTCCCAAGTTCACCAACGCTCACCATGAATTTCAAACTAATTTGATTAATCGATTACTAAATCAGTTGATGATTATTTCAACAATCGATTCATCGCATTAATCTGATTAATTGTTTCAGCCCCAGTGACCATAAAGCAACTTCAGAGAGTTTCAAAATCTAGAACTGGCTGTTTTACCTACCAAGTCACATCTGCAGATTAACAATAGTCACCCTGTTGCCAAGTTAGTGACTTCATTGCTATATTTCGTAACTTTTCAGACAAAAACAAAAAATGTGTGTCAGCCAAAATTGGAATAGGCAGGCCAGGCTTTTTAAAGATTGGTGATCGGCACCCCTACTAAAATATTAGTGGTGACTGGATAAAGTTAAGCCTACACATATAGTTATAATGAGGATTACCTAAAACTCACTCTAAACTTTTAAAACTACTCAAACTGTTTGTTAAATACATTTAAAAAAATGTTCCCATGTATTATTAAAATCCCAAATGAATCATGATGAGTGTATGTAAACTTCTGAGCAACACCTTGGATAGTTTGGTTTAAGCTTCACCTGTTATCTTTTGTTGCTCCCTTTTATAGATTTATTGCAGCAAACGCTGCATTAGAAGATTTCTGACAGCCGTCTTTTGGTTTTATGTCCTAACCAGGCTGCTCTAGAGGCCCCAGCCCGCTCACCATGGGGCCCCAGGACACCCTGCCGGTCGCTGGTGCTTTCACCGAAACCATCAATGCTTATTTCAAAGGCGCTGACCCCAGCAAGTAAGCAAAACAAAAAAAAAACCCCCAAAAAGACATGAATTCTCTCAGTATGACTGATATTTCACAGTTCGCTTTGTGTTTCCTTCTCCATCTGCTGCAGATGTGCGGTGAAGATCACTGGGGAGATGGTCCTCTCCTTCCCTGCAGGTATAACCCGGCACTTCGCTTGCCACCCGACTCAACCCGTCCTCACCTTCGTCATCAGCAACTACAGCCGCCTGGAGCAAGTCCTGCCCAATCCACAGCTGCTCTGCTGGTGAGCTTCAAACACAGTGAAGTTGCCTTTTTTTCTGGGCCATGAAATCCAGTTAATGCTAAGATTTGGGGGCTACATTTCTGTGCAAAGGCGTTATGAATATTTTAGTTTGATCGTTATTGTTTACTCCTGGGATGTTTGTTCCAGATCAGTGGTACGTAGAAGCTGAATGCTGTTTGTCCGTGTTTGGTTCTGGTTCTGGAGAGGCAGAGCAGAACCAGAACCAGAATAAGAGCTGAAGATGGACAAAGTCAAAGTCCAGATCCAAAATGAAGAGAATCTGTTGCTCAACCTGATAAATGAAGTGAATGGACAATAATGTCATTCAATAGAAACTAGTAGAGGAAGACCTTAAGCTCCTTGTTTCAACCGGACAAAATACATATGCACGCCACACTTTTCAGGTTTTTGTTTGTAAAACAAAGTGATGCATTTCCACTGACCATGTCATTGTGTATTTTGACACTTAGAAAATAATTGCGCTTAATGGAAACAAAACCATTTTGACAGAAACGTCTTGTTTTTCGATAAAACGTTTTTGTTGGGGTGCAAAAAAATTATTGCACCAATTTTTATTTTTTTTTAAATTGGTACAATATTGATTGAAGTTTTGCACACATTTGTAATGGAAACGCAGCTAATTAAGCACTACTTTGTGTCGGTCTGTCTCGTAAAATCGGACTGAAAACACACTGAATTTTGCAGAGCGCTGCGGCCGACCGTCTTGGACACAGACAGGAATGGTTTGTGCACATGAATTATCCTTCTATGATCCTTTTATGCCTGAGCGGAACATTGTTCTCGTCGCTCTGCAGCGATGGCGCTCCAGACGGTGTAGACATCAAGGAGTTCTGGGTAAACATGCCAAACCTGATTACCCATCTGAAGAAAGTGGCAGAACAGAAGCCTCAGGCGACATACTACAACGTGGATATGATCAAATACCAAGTACTAAATGCCTTTTTTTTTCTTCTTTATAATTTCTCTAACATTATTCCTCTTATTGAAGACATGAACTGTAGTTCACGTATTCCTCTGGGTGTTTCCCCGCCAGGTGTCAGCAGAGGGGATCCGGTCCACTCCTCTGAACCTGGCCGTGAGCTGGCGGGGCGATTCCATCAACACTGACCTTCGGATAGATTACAAATACAACGCGGAGGCCATGGCCGCCCCGGTGCCGCTACACAACATCCACTTTGTGGTTCCGGTGAACGGAGGCATCGCCCGGCTGCACACCATGATCCCCCCCGCCACATGGTAAAGGTCACTCAGAACCCCTAAACCACAGCCAACCTACGAATTAGCCTCACGCGATAAGTCAGTTTTATTGATTAATTAAAATTTTGGTTTTTGAAGATTTAGATTGTTTTGGAAAATGTTGATTTTTCTTTTTCACTAATGAACTCCTTTGGTTTCCATAATTCAGAGCGATGCCCGAGGCGGCCATCTTCTGTTCAGTTTCGACTTTGAATCCTGGTCAGCTCTCAGTCTAGTAGCCAGGCTAAGATGTTTTCCTGTTTTTAATTGTGAGATTAAAGTTGTAAAGTTACAAGAATGCAGTTGTTACGTTAGGAGAACGAAGTGGTCATTTCATGAAAACTCCAACATGAAAAAAATAACAAAAAAGGAATCATCTGAGCTTTTTTGTCATTAAATTAACTTTTTTTTTTCTGTAATTTTTGCATTTTTTTCTGTTAAAATTTCATCCTTATCCTGCTTTTGTTATGACTGATTTTTTTTTAATTGAACAAAAGTTCTGCTAGCCTGGCCCTAATAGTCATACGACTATTTTCTGGTATGAAAAAATTGCAGTCTTAATTTTTATACCATATTGTTCAGCCATACAATAAGTAATGGGCTTCTGCCATCTTTGCCACCTAACATTCCTTCTTATCGTCCAGTGAATGAAGAGGAAAATATGCAGGTTAATCGACAAGTCTGTTGAACATAACATGATTTTTTTTTCGTTCTCTCTCTCTCATTCAGGAATCCAGAGCAGCAAACGATTCAGTGGAAAATCCAAAGCCTGTCTCAAAGATCTGAAAATGGAGGCAAGTGTTGTTTTTTTGTTCATTTGTTTTTTGGTTGAAAATCACTTTATCTTTCCCTAAAAATACAGTCATTGGAAAAAAAAAACTCAGGGCACCTGAACTTTTTCTGTAGCATTTCTCACGGAATTCAAATTCATATTGTTCTTCAGTGAGTTGAGTGGAGGATCACATCATACAGTAGCTCAAGAAATGTAGAAATGTTACCTGAAATACACAAAGTAAGAATTTTTTTTTTTTGCTTTACTGCATAATATCAGACTACAAAATTCAAGCGTGTTATGTTTTCTTGTATTTTTTTCCTAAATCTTACACCTTTGTTTTGTTATTTCTGTCACTTCCTGGTGTGGTTTGGGTTATTGGCTGTGATTGGTTCTTTTTCATCCGAGCAATACAGCGACTGGATGAGAACAATCTGTCATTTCCTGCTGCCGTGGTTCAGCTACATGCGCTTTGGAGTTGGTTTTGCGTTTGAAAGATACGTGAAATTTCACGCCTTTTTGGCCTCGTTGGTGTTCCGTATGTGAGGAGCAGAAACGTCAGAGCAAAATGCACCAATGGAGTGTTAGTTATAAACGACCAATACCACAAATTATTGTTTGCTTACATTAATATATGTGGTCACACCAGATTCACTGCTCACCCGCATTGATGGCACAAAGGCAGCGCCATAGAAAAGTGAGGAAGTCTCCAGAAAACGATCACAATCCAAACCCAGGAACCTCAAAGGAATAAACAACATTGCATTGTTTTTTTTCCAATGACTGCATTGCTCTGTTACGCAAAGTCAGACATGTGCGTATTGTGTAGGAGTAGGGGCTCTGCTGGGCCGGTTCCAGATGGAGGAGGGTCCCTGTAAGCCATCCCAGCTGGCCGTCCAGTTCACCAGCGAGGGCAGCACGCTGTCCGGCTGCGACATCCAGCTCGTCGGGACCGGCTACAGGCTGTCTCTGGTCAAGAAGAGATTCGCTGCAGGTCGGCTCCGAGTTTGTTTTCAATTTCCAACCTTTTGCGTCAAGATCCTCCCAACCTGCTGATCCTCCTGATGTGTTTGTTGTATTTTTTTCAACAGGAAAGTATTTAGCAGATAATTAGCGAAAGCTGTTGATGAAGAGCACCGAGGAAATGTGGCTTTTTTGACTGTGAAGACTAAGGATCCATCTCACGTTTAGTGCTCTTGACTAATTCTCCTCAGCAAACCGTCGGCGTGAACGGTGGAGGTCTGCTGCAAGAACACAGTTTATGCAAGCTAACACAAATCATCCTTTGTGCACCTCAAACGGAGTTAAAGACGAAGAGCCGCCAAGTCTTTGTTGTTTTTGTGTAAAAAAAAACAAACAAAAAATAATAATAATAATTGTAACTCATTCAGTGATCCAGCCTTATTTATTTAGTTATTTATTCATTAGTTGGTTGTTGCTGTAGATGCACTGCGAGAGGTAACGGGAGTTGATTGTATAAAGTCTAGAACAATCTGAAAGGTGGAAAACTGGATCTGGTTGACACGGCCGTCTCCCATCAGACAGTCAGAGTGAGAGTCCGTGTTTTCATCCAATCAGATCCGTTCCCTCCGTTTTCAAGCCGCTAATTAGCATTTAGAGGGGACATGATGAGGATATGAAATTTGCCGTGCCTTGCAAAAATATTCCTTTTGCTGTTTTTCGCGTTTTGCGTCGTTAAAACCCAAACTTCAAATGGATTTCGTTGGAATTTGACCTAACAGACCAACACGAAGTAGAGCCTGATTGCGAATTGGACGCAAGTGGATGGTTTTCAATTGCTTAGCGAATAAAAATATGAAATAAAACCCACCTCGGTGAGTTAAGTCTCCAGAAAATCTGGTTTTCGCTGCAATTGCGTCTGCAATCCATCTACCAGCTCTGCACATCTAAAGTCAGACATTTTTGTTGGTTCCTCTTTGTAAAATAATCAAGTCACTCAGATTCAATTGAACATTTTAAAACAGGGATCTGCAACCTTTACAATCCAAGAAGCAGCTAAATAAAACTGGCTTAGAGCCGCTAACGTTACAAGAGACGACGTATATTTTTTTCATGAATATCTACCATTGGTAATTTGATAGCTTTTTTTTTTTTTTGAAGACTCGTCTTTTTATTTCAATGTTTGGTGTTTAAACTAAAGAGAAAAGAACATAGATAAATTTTCCTCTGTGGAAAATGGTGCAAAGAAAGTACAGTTTCCAACTTCAGTACAAGAATAAATGTAAATTATACTTTTGGGGTGATTCTGTTTTGGGAATTCAATGTAATTACGCCACAAAAAACAACTGCTGAGACCTGCATTTGTTTAGCACAGCTATATTTAAAAACATTAGCTGGTCCTTTGTCATTTTTTGCCTGTGGCTGCCAAGTTTTACCGTAGTGACGAGCATGTTGTGCTTATGTTGATCTGTCATATAAAATCTCAAAACATTTCAGTGAAGTTTGATGGAATGTGAAAAAATATATTAAAACGTTTATATAAATCAAAACACCAATTAGTAAGAATGTTTGGGGATTTTTCTTTTCATAATTCTTGAATTTGGTAAAATAGCTTTTTATTCCTTACTGCGTCGAACTTCCTGAAAGCATCAGATTTTTTATCTCCTGGTGTTTTGATTCAGAGGAATAAATTGGAATTCTGTTCAGGATTGGCACAGACTTAGAGCGCTAGCTACGTTTGTGGATTACGGACCTCTGTTGGCACCCCTGGTAAAGATGTGTAAAAAGTCTAAAAATGAATTAATATTGTACTTGGTTCCTCTGATCTACAACTTCCTTTTTTTTGCAAATAGGATAGTACTTAGTCTTCCTTTATAATACAGAGAGGGAGAAAAACATCTTTATCTTTGTTAGCGCACCACTAGCCAAAAAGTTAGCAGCACTAGCTAAAAAGCTAGCGGTAGTCACCCTAATCCTGATGCATTAATCATAAACATTAGGTCCACTAAAGCTAATGGTAAATTCTCTAAGCTAATGCTAAACGCTAATTTCAGCCTTGTTCACACCCACAATGTGTTAATGACACATGTTATATATATTTCTGTATACCTCATTCATTTGGCTTTTTTTGTAGACTTGCCACTTGTTCAGTATCATTTCTTTAAATAATAAAAAAAGAACATGAGGAGAGGACTTCAAAATAAGAGCATGAATATAAATGTCTAACTACTTGAAGAATTCAGTCGTTAACCGAATAACTACATTCTTTGTTCAGTTAATGAACGAAGACTTAACTTGTTTAACACGTCAAACAAGTTAAGTTTTCACAGTTAGTAAAAATGCTAAAGCATTAATGGAGAAGGAAACATTAGCGTGTAAACGGAAGTGTGCCCACCACTGGTTTATTTAATTTTAAGTAGAACTCATTAAATACAGAGACAGTTAGCCATTAACTAACTGTTTTAACAGTTAGTTAATGGCTAGTTTTATAAAAAAATATATATATATTATAAAAATGTGTGTTTTTCTAAACTTTGCAATAAAAGACGAATTTACTTTAAGGGGATTTTTCCTCCACACATCTTTCCAGAGGGTGTCAATAAGTGTTGTTAGCACAGAAAATAAAGTAGTGCCAAACTAATACATGCAACAAATTATGTTAGTAGTGTTTGGCGGTTTTTACGGGGGGTTTTGTTCGGTCACGTAGGTTGCGGCTTCTCCTGGACCAGTCGGAGTGAACGGTTCAAAGTTCGACATGTTTGCTGTGGGATACGTGAGCGTACACGAGTGCCATATGTGGATGAGGAGCAGAAGTTGCTGAAGAAGTTTCACAGTTTATGACTGTAGGAAGTTGCTTTTGATGCTGCTAAAACCAATACGGTCACTTTTTGTTGGCCAGGACCTCGAGGTCGTGACTAGGGAATTTTTAGGGATGTTCTGGCTGTCGTTGGTCAACAGTATAACGTCTTTCTAATGGGGACGGCACTATTTAAGTCTCTGTTTTACTATTTCCTTCCTTTTTTTCACCATCATAAATACACGATTTATCATTTTCTGATAGCAATATTTTAAAGCCTATGTGTAAAAAGTGTACATATATATAAATATATATAAATATATATATTAAAGCCGTTTTGGACATTTGTCTGGACATACGGACGTGTCTGTGGTTGTCCCTTAGTTTGTTGATGTCAGCACTCGGAATACATTTAGTTCACGACATGCTCTTCACCCGGTGTTTTTCATGCAGGTTTGTGTTCAGAAATGATAATTTAGAACAAAAAAAAAAAAAAAAAAAGCTAATTGTGGATGTTTCCTAATGGTGCCACATCAAAGTGTTTTTTGTCCTCCACCGTTCCCATGGAAGCAATGCCAGTTCGTCCATCTTCATCCTGGTCATGATGTGTATGTTTGCTGTGTAGGTGTGCTTTGGGACGAGACTTTTAGCTTTCTCTTAAGTCTCCGCTCAACGTTTCGCTGTCCATGCACCTTCGAACACTGACCGTCGATAAATCTGGCATGTCATTGATGTACCTAGAGGTGTTTTCCATGCGATGTTAATGCTGTTTGTTTTTGTTCGGTGCACTGAATACAGTTTCACTGCATCTTGTTGCGCAATGTGTTTTGCACATCGCATTCACTTTGTTTACTCAACTTTGGTCTGGGTTATATATTTACGATGACGTATCAGGGCCATTGTGGATGGAAAAAAAAAAAAACGGGGAGTAAATTTCTGCTGAAAAACTCTGAAATTTTCTAGAAGAAAAAAAAGAAAAGAAAAATTCTGAGCTCTAAAAGGCTAAATTTTGCAAGAGTAAACCCATAATTTTTTTTTCTTGAACATATTTGATTTTTTAAACTCAGACACATTTTTAAGACTTTTTCTAGAATATTTCTGAGATTAATCTTTAAAAAAAAATTCAGAGTTTTTTCCAACAGTTTTACTTTGCAAACTCAGAAATTTCCACATTTTCTTTGTAGGATAGAAATTTTCAGATAGTCGTTGGTGAAAATTTGCTCCTTTTTTTCTTTCTGTCTGCAATGTCCCTAATACACAGTCGTAGCCATCTGATTATTTAGGGATAAAAATGTCTTTTTCAGTTGAGGGTGCAGAATTGATTTTATTTTTCTTTTAGATTTTTACAGTGCCTTGTAAAAGTAACCACACCCATATTTTTCTGTTTTGTGACGTCACAACAAACCTCAGTGTATTTTTTTGCAAGAAACCAAAACTAAATGTGAGGGTGTAAAGTTACTGAAACATAATGGCGAACACGATTTTCCAAAAATTTACAGTTAAAAATCTCAAAAGTGTGGCATGTGTTTGTCTCCAGTTTCCCTGCATTAAAATCTTCTTCTACATGTTTGCTGTGTCCCTGACATCACTTTGGGTCCTCTCGTGAATGACAGGTTAAATAGGAACTCCTACTCTTTGTAGGTTTGAAGTTGTCCCACACTCTTTCAGTTTTCAGATAAGACTGAACATTTATCCATGAGAAGTTTGAAGCTGGAATATTGTTTTATGACCTACAAGGGACGCAAACCATTAATTGACTTATTTATTGTGAATTAATGGTTTATTAGATTACAATGAGATCCAATCGATTAGTAATGTCCGCTTAGACACCTTCTGTTAGTGTTGCGGTTTGGTCGCCATCCAGCAGAGGGCGCCGCTGGTCATCCTTAAGTGGAGCCATCAAACTACCAGAACGGTAAAAAAAAAAAAAAAAAAAAAAAAAAAAAGCTGTAAACGGAGTCTGGTGTGGCATGAAAAAAAAGCACTTTACGTTATGTTTTGAAATATAAACATTCAAGAAGCTCATTGAGTTTTACCTCCATTCATACCGCATGACGGAGCAGCGTAATATGATACATTTAGCCCTTGATACAATGGAAAGACAGGAACCTCTGGTACAAAGGAAAACGCAGATTTTTAAGAAAATGGCCGTTTATCAATTAATCGTGAATAAACCCATAAATTTTAGATCAACTCATTAATCAATAACTTGCATCCATATGACCTAACCATCCAATCCTTCTCCCTGACCAGTCTCCTGTGTTTCATTGTCTTAATGTTTGTTCTCTGACTTATACTGACATTAAATTACACATAGCTCAACTGTCTAATAAAAAAGAGTCTTCTAATACCACTTAGGTTTTTGTTCGAGGTGTAAAGGAGACTGAATGCAAATTCATTCTTCCGCTTTACAGTTGTGTGTTGTTCAATTTTTCTTCCTCTTCACAATTATGCACTACTTCATGCTAGCCTTTCACACACAAAAAACTCCCAATAAAATACACTGAGTTTTGTAGCTTTACTGTGACAAACTGTGAAAGGGTTTAAGAGGGTGTGGATACTGTTACGGGGACTTGCATAAGTATATTTATATAGTTTTTCTTTTGCCTTATTGATGAATAAAAACAATGGTTATTATGTGATCCTCTTCCTCAACTTTTCTCTGCCTTTTGGCTGTAACGTTTTTAATGTGATAGAGTCAGAATATGCAAACATCTCATGTAAATTTCACACCCAAAGCTTTTAAAGGTAAATATATGAAAAAGTCTATAATGTAACATCTGTTTTACTTGGTAATAAAGAAGAGAAAACTGATGAAGGACGTCTTCGTGTTACTTCAGGAGTTTTAAGCAGATGTGTCAAGATGTAAAAAAACAAAACAAAAACAACTAATTTAACGGTTACGTATACCCATTTATCAGCTAGCTAAGGGTCATTTCCATCATTTTACAGCCTGAAAATTAGGTAAACTGGCTTAACAACTCATTTATGATATAATGGCATACACAGGATGTACAACCTTCTACTCAGACATCTTAAATCGGAAATGATGGCCATAAAGTCCAAACCAAACAGGCTTTATGAGTGTTTTTCCTCACAGCGTTTGGAGCAGTAAAAGCTCTCACTCAAATCAAAGCCCAACTTAGAAATCCCTCCCTCTGTGTAGCGGTTGCTATGATGGCACCAAACTCTGGAGGATGACTTTGAAACAAACATTTCAGATATCCGTTGTAAAATGTTCTTCAAATTCCCATCGTTTTTATTGTTCTGTTGCAAAGCAGAACTGGGAGTGAGTATAAAATTTTTGCGAATTGGGGAAAAAATCTTCAGTTTTACCAGGACGTTAACGGGACATTTACTAATATACTTTCTCAAACTTTAAAAAACTTCTTATGTATATATATATATATATATATATATATATATATATATATATATATATATATATATATATATATATATATATATATATATATGGTTGTGTTGTATTATTGCAGTTAATAATCAGGCAATATTCCCTTAAAAATGCAGCAATCAAAGAACTTTTGAAGAAACCAAATGTAGATGCAGGGTATTATGAGCCTGGTGGGCCACCAGGCTTTACTTGTGCCCCCACCAGATTTAGTATTACTTATTTGTTTAAGATTTTTTTTTTTTATGTTTGCATTTTTTAAGACTTTATAGTTGGTGTGCGGATATTAATCTTCCACTAACACATAATTATCAAGTGATATTTTATAATTTCCTGTCAACTTTAAATATTTTTTTAACTTAAAACCACGGCGGGCCGCTGGATGAATGACTGCTGAGCGCCCCAACCACTGGGCTTAGCAAGTTTTCTGGGGCAAACCTTGTAGATTCGCACCGATAATCAGTAAATACAGACCCATATCCAATATGCCATTTCAAAGAGTATTAAAAAGACAGTTTATGATCAAATGTACCTCCTAATAATGAGGATAACCTCTTTAGTGTTATTCAGTCAGGCTATAGACTACATCACAACAACACAGAGACTGCTTTAGGTTGATGAGTCTAAAACTTTTGAGTTGTAATAACTTGATTTCAGTGCTGTGTTTGACAAAGTTGTTCTCAACATACTAATTGATAGACTTGAAAAATTAGTAGAATTCTTTATTACTGTTCTAAAAGACCACAGAACAGTCCATGGCAATCATAAATCTGGGCAAATGAATACATTTTGGGGCTCCTTTCTCAGACTACTTTTATTTCTCGTATACTCAAGTTTTCCTCTTTGTGAACAACTTAATCATTAAACAAATACTTTGGACAAACATTCATGATGCCTTTTATTCGTGCCTACATGGTAAATCACAACATTATGGATACATTTGTGACTGAAATATTTAAACAGAGAAGGACGGTATCTGACAGATGAGCTTCCCCTCTAGCACAGCATGGACAGCTCATTTCTTCGGCAGCCTTGTTGACAGCACGTTGTTATCAAGGCCTGGTCCTGGTCCCTGCGATGATAGTCCATCCCTGGAAGTTCTCCTGACTTCACAAAGTCTCGCTCTTCTCCTTTGACTTCCCAGAAGTCTGTCGCAAAACAGAAGTTAGTCGGATTTGTACTAAGACATCAAAGTTGCCGCAGTTTATCGAGCTAACGAGCACTGACCGTCTGGCAGAAAGCCCTTCTCCTCCTCCTCCAGTTGTCTTCTCCACCTGGACCCTCCGCAGGTGAACACCAACGCTCGCACAAGAGCCCGGCCACAAAGTCGCATGGAATTTCTGCTGTCCTCAGCCTGAAGGTTTGCGGCACACAACAGGCAGCAGAGCAGAACGCCTAGTATGAGTGACGATCTCATGTTGTTCAAATTCACACAACATCCGTCCTCAGCAGCCTCTATTTATACAGCCTCCACTGAGCCTCCCTCCTCGCCCCAAGCCTCCCCCCTGAGCGATTCCTGTGTAAATGCCTCTTGTTATCTTTGGAAATCATCATGTGCTTTCACCAAACGGATGTCGCTTTGGTGATTTGGGATATGTGTGGGAATCTAGGCTGCTGTAAAGATGACCGATAAGCTGCATTTTCGTAGAGAGAAGATCCGTTTTACATCTGACCTGCTGAGTTTTTACTGCCGGGGATTTAGTTGAGAGTTACTTAATGGATTTCTTGAGATAACATGCGGATCTGATTGCTTTCTACATAGCAACAAAGTGGAATGTATGTGGCTATTGCAAACAGCAATTCTGAAAAAAAAAAACACATTTGCAGGTATACTTGTCAAACGAACAGCTTCAGCCATGTCGAAGTAAAAGCCAATTCTTGTTAAATTTACCATTATAGTTAGTTTTTTTTACGATGTGGTTTCCTGCTGTAATTTACACCAGTTGATGCTGTAATATAATTATATTACTATTATTATTCAGGAATCTATTTTATAGGCTAAGAATTAGACCTGTTTTTGGTTTTTATAGTGCTGAGTTATACTTTAATTGTCCCCCTACAACTGAAATGAACGAACAGTAATAAAAAATATTGCATTTTGTTTTTTTACCATCAGACAAGCCACCTTTCTCCTTGTTAAATAATGAATTAGATGTATCTGATCAAACTCAAAGCTAAGTTCATGTTCACCAGCCACACTAAGGCCTCATGACTGCTAAACCTGCGAGATTAAAAAACGGCTGAGTTTCTTTCTTGCTAACTTTCGACTTTTCAAACTCAGAAATTTCCTTTTTTTTTCCATAGAAAATTCCTGAGATTAATATCAAAATATCTGAGTCTTTTGGCCGAAGTTTACGCCTCCTTTTTTTTCTACAATGACCCTAATACGTTTGTCACAGTAACCCTACTGAAATAAATCCTTGTTTAATTAACCCTTGTGCGTGCGAGGCCTGAGGTGTGGGGTCGGTTGGACCCCATTTCTACATACAAGGGTTAAGAACTACTAACATGAAAGATGTAATAGCTCCATGCTTGACTTATTTTTTTTTTCTTTCGCGCCTGCGCATTAAGTCCCTACACGCTTGCAGGCGGAGTAAAAAGTAGTTCCCATCAAATCCGTCTCGTTGAGAAAAAAATCACAATAATTTAGTTACTTTCTAAGGTACACTCGTTAAGATGCATTATCTAAAATGACTGAAGTATTGAAAGTATTTATACCTGACTTAGAGAATCGATTTTAAAGCATAAAGATCGGCTATTGGACAATAGATAATCCAGTATCAATCCGCACTTTCACCAGTCAAAAAGCGAAGAAGAAAGTTCCCTCCATTAACGGATTTGCTGCACCAGAAGTTCATTCATTGGATTATTAGAAAGCTTTCTTTCGATAAAAATGAGGGAAATTCTTCATCTTCAAGCTGGTCAATGTGGCAACCAGATTGGTGCGAAAGTAAGTAAACATTAATTTTTAAAAGTAAGACTTAAAAATTAATTTGTTGGGACACCAACTGAAAAGTTACATTTACTTTGGTCGGGCTTCTAAATTAGCATTAGCTAGCTTAGCAAAAAAAGTAAAGGTAAGTGCTAGCTAAATGACAATCTATAGCCATACAAAATAAAATAGCATGTCATTAATCCATCTTACATTGTTTAACACCGACTGAAAAGTTACATTTAGGTTGAGGCCAAAAAATGTTAACATAACCGTTAGCTAAAATGTTAGCCGTAGCCGTTGGTTTCCGTTACTTTCCCGCTCCGCCCGTTAGTTTAAATGTAATTTTTCCTGTCTCTTTGGTTGTAGTTCTGGGAGGTAATAAGTGACGAACATGGCATTGACCCAACCGGGGTATACCACGGAGACAGCGACCTGCAGCTCGACCGGATCAACGTTTATTACAACGAGGCATCAGGTTTGTTCACACTTCGCTTCACAGTACAGTTAGTGGAGGAAACGCTTTAGTACCGTTACCTTACACAGGAGGGCCATTCTGTCGCCTAATTTGAATTTTCAATGATGCACCCAAGTCCAAGGTACGATGCGCCGTCGTTGCGAAGGAGTAGAGCGCGCGACCAAATACACGTCGGCCTCAGTTTTGGACGTGACCCCTGCACAAATACGCTTATATTTAAAAAAAAAAAAAAAGCCCTAATTTGTGAAACTTTTACATCCTCTCCCCTCTTTCTACTAGGGGGAAAATATGTCCCTCGTGCTGTGCTGGTCGACTTGGAGCCAGGCACCATGGACTCTGTGAGGTCTGGACCTTTTGGCCAAGTGTTTAGACCTGACAATTTTGTTTTTGGTATGTATATTTCTGTAAGAATTTAGTTTTGATTAAGAAAATGAAACTACCACATGTTGGGCTGCCAAACAAAACTGGAGTGTTAATTATTTAATTTCTTGAATGTTTTCCCATATAAACAAATGAAACTGGATATTTAGTATGTCAGGATTTTTTTTTTTTTTTTTTTTTTTTTTTTTTTTTTTTTTTTAATTAAATACTTTGATCTGTAACAGGTCAGAGTGGTGCTGGTAATAACTGGGCTAAGGGCCACTACACCGAAGGAGCAGAGCTGGTGGACTCGGTCCTGGATGTGGTGAGAAAGGAGGCAGAGGGCTGCGACTGTCTGCAGGGCTTCCAGCTCACCCACTCCCTGGGAGGAGGCACCGGCTCCGGCATGGGCACGCTCCTCATCAGCAAGATCCGAGAGGAGTACCCAGACCGCATCATGAACACGTTCAGCGTGGTGCCGTCACCCAAGGTTTATATCGTCACCTTCCTTAAATAATGGACCAAGCGGGAGATGACGATGTTCACTTCTGTTCACATATGATGGGATGCTCTGCTTCATAACTGCTTCCTCAAGTTGTCCACACATACTTGAGACTTAAATTCATGTATCTCAAAGTCAGGCCTTGAAATGTCCTGAATTCATTTAAAAAAATGAAATGCATTGACTTGTGGGAGTTGAGGTTAGTGGTTCCCTTGCTTGCTAGCTAGCTTTTTTTTTTTTTCTTTTTTTTTCCCCATGTCCATGCTGGGTAAGTAAATTTATCGCCAGTTGCGTGGACGATATTCGTTTTTGCCATTGACTTGCTTCTGTTGCCAAACCATAAGGTTCTGTATGTGTTGGGTACAAAAAAAAACTGCAGTCAGCTGTTTCTAGTGCGAGAAGCACAAAGCTACAATTTTATTTTGGACATTTCTGTTGTGATACGGGTTTTAAATTTCATTCATAGTCATCTTAAAAAGTCTTATATTTGGGTTGGTGAAACCCAAATGTAAGACCTAGTTTAAGATTCTCCCAATCTTAAACTAGGTTTCATTGTTTTCTCTCTATTCCCCTCCTGGCAGGTGTCGGACACTGTGGTGGAGCCCTACAACGCCACCCTGTCTGTCCACCAGCTGGTGGAGAACACTGACGAGACCTTCTGCATCGACAACGAGGCGCTGTACGACATCTGCTTCCGTACGTTGAAGCTGACCACACCCACCTACGGCGATCTGAACCACCTGGTGTCGGCCACCATGAGCGGCGTCACCACCTGCCTGCGCTTCCCTGGCCAGCTGAATGCCGACCTGAGGAAGCTGGCCGTCAACATGGTGCCGTTTCCCAGACTGCACTTCTTCATGCCGGGCTTCGCCCCGCTGACGAGCCGCGGCAGCCAGCAGTACCGGTGAAGATGCTCAATCCCCCATTAGATTAGGATTATCCTCCACTTTAGATACTTAATTCCAACTGAATGTCTTCTCTTTTCCAAGGGCCCTGACAGTCCCTGAACTCACCATGCAGATGTTCGATGCCAAGAACATGATGGCGGCGTGCGACCCGCGCCACGGCCGCTACCTAACTGTGGCCGCCATCTTTCGTGGCCGCATGTCCATGAAGGAGGTGGACGAGCAGATGCTGAACGTTCAGAACAAGAACAGCAGTTACTTCGTCGAGTGGATCCCCAACAACGTGAAGACGGCCGTCTGCGACATCCCGCCGCGTGGCCTAAAGATGTCTGCCACCTTCATCGGAAACAGCACGGCCATCCAGGAGCTGTTCAAGCGCATCTCAGAGCAGTTCACTGCCATGTTCCGCCGCAAGGCCTTCCTTCACTGGTGAGTTAGGGTTAATCAAACACTAGTCTGTTTGCCTAGAGAATTTGCTTGGGAAGGTGCTACCAAACTGATGTGGACCAATAAAGCAAACTCTGGTCCACCGAAAAACCTTGGTCTCAATTCGGTTGAATGACCACTGATGCAGTTCAAATTCATATGTGAATGCACTAAATCTGACGTCAGTCCATTTGTTTACTTTTCATGAAGAAGGAAGTAGCGCTCAGTGTCTTCTTCATAGGTTTTCGTCTAGTTTCCTTCGGTAGTTCTTTTTCCCTCCTTGATGCAAAGATGGAAACAGGTTTTTCAACAGGTTTGACGTGCAATGTGAAAGTGAACTGCACCATCTGAAAATGTAACAAATGTTACAACTTTGATCCTCAGTCTAACCGAGTTTATCAGGCTATCAGGTGTACTAAAACACAGTGGCGTGCTAGTGCAAGGCCTAGACGCTAATGCTGTCTTGTCACAGGTACACCGGCGAGGGCATGGATGAGATGGAGTTCACCGAGGCGGAGAGCAATATGAACGACCTGGTGTCTGAGTACCAGCAGTACCAGGACGCCACGGCCGAGGAGGAGGGCGAGTTTGAAGAGGAGGAAGAAGACATGGCTTAGGCAGCTAATATGACGGCTTTGCTCTTGAGCAACATTTGTTAGATTTCAGTGTTTCTTTCTTTGTTCAAAGTGTCAAACCAGTGACAATTAAGGTGTGATAAATGTCACCAGTTTTACTTGTTCTAAAAGTTTTAGGATTTTTTAGGCCTTGCAGAGAACATGTTAAATATTACTTTAGAATTTTCTTCTGGAACATAAATGTATTAACCTGTAATTCTGCCCTGTAGCATTTTGAATGTTTTGGACATTGAAGCTTTCATCTGTGAGCAGTTTGTTTTTATGTGTTCGCTCATTTATTTACTGGGACTGTGATGAAGAGTGTTTTTCTGAATGTTGTAACTCTTCCAGTCTGACCTCCACATTGCCTGCTCACAATGCATTTCTTTAAAGCTATTTGTTATTTTTTTACGTAACAAGTTGGTACAGAACCCGTCTAGCAACATGGGAGAAAAAAAACTATATTATATTGTGGGAACAACTTCATTATAGAAAGGTAATGCCAAGAGTGTTTTTTAATTCCCATGTCACTGGATGGGCTCTGTAAATTTGTCAGTCTTTGGATTTTGTAATTTTCAGTCTGTGGTGTATTTAGGATGGTTTCATTTATAGCACTACATTAATAACTTGATGGTATGTTCAGAGTTTTAAATGAAGGTTTTTACCCTGGTACTAGGCTGTGACTTGGTGATTTTGTCAGTTGAAGGCATATAAATAAATAAATGAGCAATTTGAGGGGATTTTAATGCTTTCATGTTGAAAATGAAGGAAATGAATCTGGATGTTACAGAGCCAGTGTATAAAGGGCGACATCTGCTGGCCAAATGGCAGCATTATATTTAACCGGAGGGAATTTATGAGCCATATGGAATTAAAATCCAACACTGCGCAGTAACATGATGCAATGATCTGAAACAATAGTAAAACTAAATTGATAGAATATTTTCAGATCCATCAAACATCTGGAGTTGGTGATCTGCAGAACTCTAGATCCCGAGGAGGAAACGAAGTTCTGGTCCCAACTTTCTGCTGCAGAACAGAAAGTTCAAGATTTGCATTGAAATGAAATCTAAGCCAAACATATAATTGAGATCTGTTGACTTTTCTCTGCATACATTAATCAAAAGTAAAGGAAAACGTGTTTGAGAAAACTTTATTGTATATTTTTTAATAAGTAACTCATGGATAAATGCGTATTACTCAAAGATGGATTAAGAGATGCAGAATGTATGGAGGTCTGTTTTAATTCTGAGTCTAAGAATAATTCGGCTGTGTTAAATCTGTCTTGAGGTTGTTTTTTTTTTACCCCATCATGTGACCTGCGAAGGTTTTGAAGTTCATGGTTGAAAATTAGTCATGTTGGGAAAGAAAGATGGCTGCCAAAGCTTTGGTGAGTTAAAAGACTACAGGAAGTGATTCAGCTTAGTAAATATCACTATAATAAACCTGCATGCATCCTCAGTATGAGACATTGCTTTAACTTAGACAACTTTTAACCTATTTAAATAATGATTGGTGCATTGTTGACATATTTTTTCTAGCCCCCCAACTGCAGTTTAAGTTGAGAGAAATCCAAATTTATTTTTTTAAACTTTATTTTTAATCATGATAATATCGACATAATTTTCACTGGGAAATATTAAGCGTGACACAAATGTATTTGTCCCTTCCCTTTTTTATTTTTACAGCCAGGCTTTTACAGGAAGTAGAACCACATTTTTGTTATTTTGGAATCTAACATTATTACAAACTGCTTCAGGATCAGCTGCCAGGGTAAAAATCGTCCTCCAGAGTGAAACCAGACATCCATAACCCCCGTTTTAATCACCGATATTCAAAACAAATGTCGTCCTGGAAATATTCATATAAAAACTTGAATTAAGTTTACTTAACATGGTAATTTTGACCCATGAAATGGCATAAAGTCTGTGTGGGATGGTGTGTTGACATTCCACCACATGAAATGTTTGCCATGTGTGGCAAGACAAGGGTAGGAAATGGGTTGATACTCTGCAACTTAAATGCACCTCTCAGAGCGGGGTAACCAGAAGGCGTCAACGCCACCTTGGAAATTGCACCCAAGGAAATAGAGCACCAGTAAGGCACTGAAGGTTTGTAAACCAATGAGAACAAGACATGATTCCACGGAAAAAAAAAAAAAAAGCGCAAAACTGAGGAAACAAAGCAACAGGGTCTCCACCGAGCTGCAGCAGCTTTTTGTCTGAAAGGAAATTACAAATTAACAGGTGGTTTCAGAAAATGGTAGCATGTAAAGGAAGTCATTTTAACCTACCAGAGCTGGATGTCTCCACCCCCAACCAGAGAGCCCCTTCCAGCCCAACATCAGCAGGAGGATCAGCTTGCCAGTACTTTCTATAAATGAATTGTCGTGTTTCTGTGCTATAAAACTGTATGGATGCAATAAAAAGTACATGCCTGTTTTACGTTGCTAAGATCATCTGGGGAGGTGAAACGGTAGCCACACCTCAGTACCAAGCAGGAGACTCCAGGCAGTTTCTAAATCCAAACAATTTGAGTCAAACAACTGCAATTTCAGGTCTAATACAGGAGAAACATTACTAACATTACGTTAGAGTTATGACCACTGTAAACCAACCAAGCGACCTTCTTACTGAAGTGTGACCATGTCCAGGCATAAAGGAAACCAGCGAAGGAGTCTCTTGTTATTCTCCACATCCTGTAAGGAGTTAATTGGGTGCCAGGTGTCCTTCATCCTGCAGGGCAGGCTTCATCCTGCTACACGCACAGGCTAAAAGTTAAAAGTGCTGTTCCTTATGAGGAGATAACTTCTTTAAGTTTTTTACTGTGAAGCAAACAACTGTATTTTTGTCACGTTTCCATAAAGTCCAACATTACGTACTGCTTGGCCAGCAGTCGGTACACAATCGATTCTAGTGGAGGCCACAAGACAACCCACCAACCTTTAACCTCAAACGGTGCCACTTGAAGTAAGTACAATTAACTTTGAACCTATTTTTAAACAATATTTTGATTATTCTTGATAATTTTATTATTTTTTTTACTTCCGGGTAAACTTTTAAGAGCTTGTGAAACGTCTGCTGGTTCCGTTTTTACTTCCATTTCACAAAAGTAGCAAAGCTGAGAGGGAAAACATCCATCAAGTATCAATCCTAAAACGCAGTTCCTTGTTGCCGACACTAGATGTCCTCCTAGAGCCAGTTTATAAGGGCTTAAAACAGCTGTGAGGATTACTTCAGTCCACATGGAGAGCAACCTGACAGGCGGTGAATAGACAGAAAACCCAACAGATTTTCTTTTAGTGGATCTCTGAGGGTGGAATACAAAGATGGAGAGAGTATGTGGTCAGTGTGTGTGTGTGGGGGGAGGAAGGGACTGCTGGTTGCCATTTTGGGGTAATTTGCTTCATACGACTCGTCAGCAGCAACATCTGTCTTCCTCCTCCTGCTGCTGCTGCTCCTCCTCCATCCTGCTGGGTCTGATTCAGCACTTCAACACCTACACACAGAACCAAGAATAGATTCAGGACTCCACACAGAGTAAAAAAAAAAAAACCCGCCGGCGCCTGAGACCACCCAGCAGCCGACCCATCGCATCCTGTCCTGTCACCTGCTACAGAGAAATCAGAAACAAAGCAGAATAGATCCTTCAGTCGCTCCCTTTACTTGCTGTTTGGTTTTAAGTGCGTCTCTAACAGGTTCCAGTTTGGTGCTAATGTGACGTTTTACACAACAGTTTAATGTAATTTGGCCTCTATTTTATCATCTCTAGGGTAAAAGTCTAAAAGACACAAGCTTAGCCTAAACCACCGTTTTCCACAGTTAACAGAGATCGTCAAACTTCGTTTGACATTTTGAAAACTTTCAGGGTGTTTTCACACCTGATTCTGTTTCGTGTTCAGCTGATGCCGTTCACTTTCCCACAACACCGTCTAATGAGACAAAACCTTTTGGAAAAACCGTGACCTGTGGTGGCGCTGTGCCAATCACCAGTGAGAGAAACGACATGAAAAACTGAAGAACACGATGAACGCAACTTCCTTCTTCGTGAAATCTAAACAAAATGGAGTAACGTCAGATTTTAGGATTTCTCTTTTGCTTTTGGTGAAAGACTGAAAGACCACAAGCTTTTTCTCCAGCTAGAGATATAGACTCTCACATTTGTTTTGCTTGCGTTTACCCAGAATTCCTTGTACTACAGTTCATTTCCTGATCCGTTTTATTTTCACATAAGCATTTGAATTGCATCGGCGTTCACTTTTAATTCAACTGAGAGCTTGGTTTGTAGATGGACCAGAGTTTGTTTTTGTTTTTTCTTTTGTTTTTGTTTTTTGGGAACTCATCAGAGTTCAATCACGTTCCCAAACGAACCAGACTTTGTAGACGAAGCAACTGGAGTTTGAATAAAGTAGACCAAACGGTGTGTGAATCCACCCTTGAACTGTTAATAAAAACTAAAAAAAAAAAAAGAAAAAAAAAGTAAATGAGTATTTAATAATTAATTATTTTGGTTTTTAATGTTTGCTCTTAGATTGAAACCATATAATTGTGGTGCAATTTGGCATTTTGAAATTAAAAAAAGCATAACGTTTCGACACTAGAATGATTTATTCTTTTTTTTCTGCTGTATGGAATTTTTTTTTATTTTGCAAAACTGTAATGGAAGCACTTTTCGTTTCACATTAACAACAATAATGGAGGATGATGGCGTGGCATTGTTGTTTTTTAACGGTTTACCATGTAAACAAACGTATTCATGTGATTTTAATTGTGTTTCTTATTTAATGCAAACGCCACAATTGTGAAATATTGGACATTAGTGGAATATTGACAAAGTTTTGCAGTTTTTGATGGGGGGGCAATTTAAGCAGGATCCACCCCTGCTTGTGGAACGTTCCTGTCTTTTCCTCCTACACATATTAACCGAGCTGATTATAATTACTGAAACCCACCTGAGTCACGCAGACCCACAGCGGAGGCATTCCAGGTGACCTTTACCACCAAATGCCAAACGTGCACGGTTTGTACTTCCTCCATGTGTGAGACCGGCCCTGCATTCCCTCTGGTACCCAGACCCCTGCGCTCGTGCTCCAGCTCGCTCCAAAGCGTGAGCTCGCTCTACACCCCCCCACCCCCCATTCATCCTCCTCTTCCTCCTCCTCCTCCTCCTCTACCCACCGCGCAGTTGGATTCAGTTACAGTGAGCGCCAGGATGGCAACATAAAAATAAAAAAAAAATCTAATGGAATAACTGAGACGGGAGAACGTTGTGAGGATTTTACGACGTGTGAATAGCAAAGCATAGAAATAACCTTGACAAAAGAAAAAAAATAAGAAAAACAAGATGCGAGGCAGCGCGCAGGCATCCGCGGGTCAAGTTCACGCGGCAGCGGATGCGCGCCGGCTCCAAGAGCAGCTGGCCGGATGAAGTGAGATTCGGCGCGCAGCGGCAGCAGCAACGTGCCACAGGCGGCCACGCATTTCGGTTCTGACCGCGGTGGGAATCATTTTCTGGGGACGAAACAACTCGGGCACCTTCTCTCCCCTCACCCCTCCCACGGCACATCAATGAGGAATGTGACTGTGTCTGTCTCTGTCCAGACGGGCTTGATGAAGCCCTCGGCGGTGTCATGCGTCTTGCCCCGCAGCCAACAAGCGCGCAACCCCTGCGGCTCGTAGTGTTCCTCGCCCTCCTCCTGGGCGCCGGGGTCGTGTCGTCCCCGGTGATCTCCGCCGGCTGCCCGGACAGGTGCGTGTGCGACGACCAGCTGGTGGTCCAGTGCGCCGGGCAGCACCTGGTCGCCTTCCCGGTCGACCTGCCGCTGGCCACGCGGCAGCTCATCATCTCCAACAACCGCATCGCGGAGCTGCCGCCGCTGGCGCTCAACTACCTGTCCGACCTGGTCTACCTGGACTGCAGCAACAACTCCCTGACCGAGGTGTCCGAGTCCACCTTCGGGAACCTGCGCAAGCTGGCCTACCTGGACCTCTCCTTCAACACTCTGCGCCGGATCGAGGACCGGACGTTCGGCCCGCTGGCCAGCCTAGTGATGCTGAGGATGACGGACAACCCGGGGCTCTCCGACATCCACCCGGACGCCTTTTCGGAGAACGAGGCGCTGCAGGTGCTCGACGTGAGCCGGAACAACCTGACGGCGCTCAACATCACGTCGCTGCTCGCGCTGGGCGCCCTGCGCTCCGTGGGGCTCAGCGGGAACCCGTGGAGCTGCCAGTGCGACAACGAGGACCTCTGCCTGTGGGTCCACCTGGAGACCTTCAAGTTCCAAGGTCCTGTCGGCTCGCTTTCACTTTTACCCCGGTGTCACGTGAGGAAGTGGTTAGTCCAGGGAGCGCGTGCTGCACGCTCCAGTTGGAGCTAATTAGAAAGCCCGGTTACGTAACGGACTGGCCTTTTACTGGAGGCTGTTAGCAGGAAGCAGCTCCTGTCAAAATAACAATAATTAGACCGTAGAAAAATACTGAATTATCACCCTGGATAAATTCTGAATTTAACCCGAGACGTGTTTCGATGGATACAAGGATTTGGGGCCGTTGGGTTGGAAACCGTTTTGGGGCCCCATCTACTAAAAAAAAAAAAAAGTTATTTTGCTAATGCAAATTACAGTAAATGAATAGGTTGTCCTATACATAATTAGGTATGAACTTATGATGGTAGGTTTAATAAGTCCCTTGACCAGTTGCTCCATGTTGTTTCCACAAAACAGACAAAAACTGTCTATGTCATTTTCAAATACTCAAGTGTTGTTTAAATTCATAAAAATCCCAAAATACTATTACAACTCCCCTGATTGGCCTATGATTCTTATATTAAGTACAATGTCTCCAAAACACACTTTCATCAAAAATAAATAAAAAATCTCTCATCTCAGTGCAAAAAGCCCCTTGAATTTTTCATGCTTTGTCAGATCGCAGCCACAAACTTCAATGTATTTAAGTTTGAATTTGTGAAAGTTTGAAACTGAGATCTGTTCTTAATTTTAGTCTGATACCCCAAAATAAAAACCTGTGCAACCAGCTGTGTTTACAAGTCAGCTAAGAACACGTGTTTTAATCTGGTCTAATGTTTACATGGAAGTTTATTTGTGGCTCTCAGCAGCAGGGCCGGATTTAGAATGATGAGGGCCTCAGTTTTGGTGTCCCGATTCGCTGCTAGTCAATGCTAGACCTATACATCAGTGGGTCTGAACTGATACATGGTAGGTTTACTATTCATGTTGCTTCTAAAAAAAATACTATAACTTCATGATCTTCTCTTTCCCATGTTTTTTTGTTTGTTTTTTACATAGCATGTATGCGAGTAAACAAAAGCAATTTTCCAGCGTCAATTTAAAAAAAAAAATTGTGCTCCACCTGATCTCTTCCAAATTTGATTTCCTTTTCCAGAAAAAAAAAAAAAAAAAAAAGGTACATCCTGCACTTCCCATCTGCACTGCCCCCTATGGGTTTGGAATGTTTCGAACAGCACTAGGGCCATATTTGTAGATTTATGTGAATGAAAACGTTACTGATACTGATCCCATGTTTTTTCTTTTTTCTTTTTTTTAAGCAATTTTATGGAGATATTTGTTCATATAAAGTCCCGGGACAAAATCATATGCAGAAGAACTTCATTTACTAGTACATAAACTCTTTAGGCAATTTGTTGCGCTGCCTTTCATTTAGCGGAATCAAACAAAAAGAGTTGTCTAAATGAAAATGCACACCACACTTTTCAATTTTTTGTAAAAAAAAAAAATATATATAAAAATTCGATTTGATCATTTTCCCCTCAACTTCACAACTATGAGCTCATGTGTTGCATAAAAAGACGCAAAAACACATTTAGTTTTGTGGCTGTAGCATCACAAAATGTGGAAAAATTGAAGCACAAATGAAACCCAATATGTCTTTTTAGTCCAAACGTATTATTGGAAAGTTGAGTGGAAGGAAAATGCGATTTAACCCTCCTCCCCACCCCACCTCCTAAAATTAACGGAAATGAAATGTATCAATAATATTGATACCGAGTCAGTGTTGGTATCTAATCAATACTTGCGTGGTAAAAATCAATATTTTAGTTTTAGATTCCATCTTAAGATCTTATTTTTATAATTACCCGCAGGGAGTTTTACAGTTTTCTCTCTTCTTTAACAGAAACTGTGCTGGAGCCTCAGAGGAAGAATAACCGTTCCTGTCATGTACAGGCAGAAGCTGCACTGCACAATTTCTTTCGCATCACGTCACCCAGGCAACATCTGCAACTGTAGCATCTCTTATTATTTCACACAAGTAAATAGCCAATAGCCTGCAGGACTGCTGTTGTTTTTATAATCACAGTGAAAAGCTGTGGGTTAAACACGCATAGCGAAATTAAAAAAAAAAAAAAAAAAAAATGCAGAAGACCCGAAAGTTATCTGCCGAACATTTGAGTTAGCAATGCTAATTATTAACAATCACAGAAGCAAATAAAACAACATTTCAACTCAGATTAGGGTTGAAATGTTGCACTTGAACAGCCTATCAGACTTCTGGAAAAGTGTCAACAACAGACTGCAAGGCAAAGGAGCACATTAAAAATAATTTGATTTTAAAAAAAAATCACCAAAAACGTGTCATTCTGACAGTGGAGAGATGATGTTCTGCAAACCGTTCAGGTAGTGAGTAGACGGTAAACTCCTCTAAGACCTGAAGTATTCTGGTATATGCTATTAAATTCAAATAAATTAAACTGTAGTTGATGGTTTGGAATGGTAAAAAATTGACCAACAAAATAGAAAGTAATTGACCCCCTCAAAATTTGGAAGTTTTTTATTATTTTTATTTTTTAAATAAGCCAGCCGTTTAGTTTTTTCTCTTTATGTTTTATTACCTGGTCTCTCATCCTTCGGTTCCATGACTTTTAGATGTCAGCAGCAACGTTTGACCACTGTGAGCAGGGCCGGATTTAGAAGAATACGGGCCCCTGGGTTGGAGGGAGTTTTGGTGCCCTCTCCCAGGGAACAGAAAAAAAAAAAAAACACAACTTGTACTCATGCAAATTACAGAACATAAATAAGCAGGCATACAAATCTGAATTTGAATTAGATGCATGGTCGGTTTGAAATGTCTAATGGCTCCATGTTGGGCCCAATTAAATTCATAAAAATCTAACAATATTTAGAAAAAAAACTCACTACATGTGAAACGAGTCCATGACTTTAATATGAGGTCCAAGGCTGCAACTAACAATTATTTTAGTAATCTGATTCGACAATTAATCGAGTGTAATAAAGTGGCACATTCGACAGGTTATTTTATTTGACCACTTAAGCCCTTTATATACAATATTAGAAATATTTGAAAAGATGCAAATAATAATAAAAAAAAAACAATCCTTTTTTTTATGAGAAAATATTTCAACACAATACTTTAGTAAATCTGAACCAGGTGAAGCTAAAACTATCTCATTTGAGGATTTTTCCTTAGGACAGATTAGCAAACAAAGATGTTTTCATCTTAAGTATAAAATGTATAGAAATGTGTTTTGGGGTTAATTACTGCTCTGAATATCTTTCAGCAAATTGCCTTTTTTGAGTCTAGATACTCCAGTTTAGGAATAATTGGTTACAAATTTAGTTGACCTTTTTTTTTTTAATAATCGATTAATCCGATTAATCGTTTCAGACCTAATGAGGTGTATTGTTTATGAAACATGCACTATATATATATATATATATATAAATAAATATATGTATATAAAGGAATTTTTGGGTGCCCCCCTAAACTTGGTGCCCTGGGCTACTTGGTGCCCCTTAAAGCCGTCTCTAAAGTTTGACTCAGACTGTCGGACCGTTAAATGATAAAGAAGAAAACAGATAGAATGGAGTTTCCTGATTCTCTTTTAGCGACTTCAGCTCCTTTCTTCAGCTCGACCAGCTGCAGTTTTGACAGGAAACACGAAAGTCTTATTATCCAGAAACGACAAATCGATTCCTTTTCCACTCAGCTGCTGGGACGCGATTCTGCAGGTGTGATTAACGAATCATGGTCTCCCCATCAAATATCGATCCCCGCTGTTATTTCCCTGCCAACTTGAAAAATCGCTTTCGATACTCTGAGCAAATCCTAAACTTTGATTTATGATGCCGCTGGTTCAGTGTGGACAAGTTGCTATGCAAAAGGCCAGATGCTATTTATAGCGCCTCTTACTGAGCAAGAAGCCAGTCGTAATTTTAACACCATGGCTGTAATACAATTTCCACGCTCTCTGAACTACTCCCCCCTACACCATACCATCCCCGGTCCCTGCTTCTCACTCGCCATGTGGTTCGCCACGGTCCCCAAGACCACTGCCGGAGATGTCCCAGTTTTCCCACAGCTCGTCAACATTTGTCTCGCCCAATTTGGATTGCGGCCTCTTCCGGTGACAGCTGCCAGGAAAGGAGAACCGAACTCAGACACGCGCAATCTTTGGCCCTGCACGTGAAATCTGTCTGTCTTTTTTTTTTTCTTCAAAAAAAGAAAAGGAAAGACGTAAAACATTCAGCTGCCCTTAAACCCTCGGACTCTATGTTCTGAATTATGGATTCATGAAGAAGCACACTTGATTTGATGAAGCTTTTTATTTTATTGTACTATTTTTTAAACTGGAAGGTCCATCTCATGTTGTAGATAAATTAGCGTTTTGTCCACACTGCATGTCAGTCGATGACAGAAATGCTCTACAGAAAAGTTAGGGATGCATTGACATGAAAATTGGTTCTGCTGTCTGTTATGACGATATGTACTAATATATTATTTTATCAACAAAAAAAAAACAATATAGGACGGTGGTAGATGGATCCCTGAGGCAGCAGCCCTGGGAGGCGCTATGCTTTCGTTAGCTGAAAATAACACTAGGCTAGATGAGGGGGGGAATCATATCTCACACTGTGAGGCACATTATTTAGTGCTCCTGCCTGGCCCCCCTTTAAGAAAAAAAAACCTAGAGACGCCCCTGGTCGTCTGGATCTCACCTGGTTTAGGATGAGAGCGTGCTTGTCTCCTTCAGTTTAGAAAATCTGCAACACCAAGCAAAAGCAAAACATTGAGAGAGAGAGAGAGAGAACAAAAGCCTCAGGAAAGGAACCAACAGATTCTCGTCTGTCGCCTTCCTGGCTACATTAGCACTCTGTCAGTTGTTATATAAGGGAAGTGTCTCGAAATGGAGCAGAGTGTGAACAGGGAAGAAGAGAGGGAAAGCCCTCTTCTTTGATGGCAGTCCCCATTGGGGGGTGTGGGGAGGATGAGGGGGTTTAGGTGGGTGAGACCGTAAGGGTTTTCCTCCCTGCCTGTGAGACACGTGGAGAGTAGATGTGCAAAGATGAGCCGACTGTGTGAGGATGGAAGGAGGAAGCTCGGCTCTCGGCCTGCCACACGCACAGAGATGATTGGATGCAGGGAGGGCGGGATGTATGTGCATGGGCATGGAAGGAGAGCGGGCTCTTATGAAGCCGGAGATTCTAACAGCATATCGTATGAAGAGAGAGCAGCAGCAGCAGCAGCAGCAGCAGCTGCTGCCTCTGAGAGGATCAGAGCGCGCTTTGAATTTTTCTGCAGCACATCTGAGTCAAGCAGACCCCGATAAGCTAATTTCCAGAAACTCGAGTCATGGAAATGACTCTCCGAGGAGAGCTACAGAGATTTAGATGTTAAATTCTTAAAATATTCAGAAACATCAATTTGTCTTTTTTCCTTTAGAGGGGAGCTGCCACGTAATTTCATTGAGGATAAAAAAAGAGCTGTAAGAAACACTGCCTTCTAACTTGAGTTAGTTTTTATTTATTATAAGCAGCAAGGAAGTTGGAGCAGAAGTTTAATTCCCAGCTACACTACTCCAGATATTCTTCATATGTTCATCCCATGGGTGAGAGCTAGCTTGCTATTACAAGAGATAGCTAGCTCTAGCTGCAGCTAGCTAGTTAACGCTTCTAATAAGTTCAACTGAATAGTTTAGTCCGTGTATTTTAGTGCTAGTTAACTAGCTATTCAATTGAACAAGTACAGTATTATTTTTTTATTCTTTAAATCTTATACATGTATATTGTTGGCAGAGTTTTAAATGAGTCTATTCCTTCATTCATCTAGTCTTCAGTTGTTTGTCTTTCTCCTGGTTCCCTGGTCCCAATTTTCCAATCACCACAATTCTTTTTTGTTTTCAGTTTCTAACCAAGAGTTTCCAATTTCGTCAGCAACTTAATTGACATTTTAACTTAAAAACAGAGTCAAAGTTACTTTGAAGAATTACGAACTTTGACCTTAACGGAGGCAAGTGAAGTCTGTAGTACTTCAGATGTTGTTCTGGGCTCTTTGGTGAGTTGTTGATGTGTTCTTGGAGTAATTTTAGTAAGGTGACCTCTCTGTGAAGGTACAATACTGTTTCATGTTATTTTAGTTACAAATTGAGCTGTAACACCAATTAAAAGAGGGTGTATTCTTGCCAGCCCTGTTTTTAAAATCCAATATGGCTGCCATACGGAGTAAGCTGGAGTAAGGACTTGTGTTCGAACATGCCATTAAATTAGTCACACAGATTGTACCGTACAACACATGTTGAACATGTTGCTTCAATGTTTTAATGTACACAGGATTCTGATAATGTCCAATTATTAGCTTATGATGCTAACAGTACATCAGCTGGTGAAGGAGTAGCTCGTATAATGAGCTCAGCAGATGTGCAGTTCTGCCAGATGTTTGCTAATTGCTGCTAGCTAGTCTGAAGGAGCTGAGTGGGGAGTGGAGAGGCTGCTCAGTGATGAGGAAGAGTAGAAACTTTGAACCTGCAGCTCTGAGGAGGATCTTTCTCTAGAAGGCGGGGCTAGGTCCACCCAGGCATTTTACACAGCTGCATGGTTGCCACGGGAGATTAAATGATTTCTCAAATATGCATGAAAGAATCAAGGCAACAGTCCAGGTATGTTTTTGATGAAGGAATGACATTAGAACATGATGTAAAGCTCAAAAAGTTGATTTTACTGGCCTACTAGCAAAAGGCCACATGGGCTGATTTGATAATGGAAATTCCTCATCAACCTCATCAATTAAGGCAAAGTCTTAAAGATGGGAAGTGAATGAGATCATAAAATGTCCTTAGGAAAGTTTGCAATGAGATGCACTACCGTCTCCTGCAAACAGTTAATTAGAGAGGGAATATTAATAAGCTATTTACGTAAGCAAGGCTGTGCAGTACAAGAGACATAGTTACTGTCGTCCATCTCACATTGTGCTGAAAGATTTCTTCGCGTCAAGTGGGCTGAAGCATCAGATCTTCACTTGAAGTCCAAAACCACTTCTTCCTATTCTCTGGCTAAGTGATGGTGTGTATTCTGGGGTGTTGGTGCAGAGTGACAGTAACACTGTTCCCACTGCAGAGGATTTCAAAGCTTTTGATCCCTCACAACACAAAAGCCTTTGAAAAAACACATGCCAATTACCAGCAGTGTCTGTAGCAGCGTTACAGTTCTGTCTCCCTTCAGCAGAAAATTAACTTTAAAAAAAAAATAAGACGGCACTCCCATCAGCTGTTGAAGTGTCACATCCATCATGCTCTGTATTGAATTTTGACTGTACTTACTGTAGTTCCATCCAGTTCACTTGAAAAGATGAAAGTCAACATTTTGTTGGGATTTGTGGATCTCAGAGGGTCTTAGTTGGAGCCCACCTAAAGCCTGGTGATGAGAAACATTGTTATCTGAGGTCTCAGGCAGACACAAAGACCTGACTCCCTCTCTAATCCTGTGTGGGGAAAAGGAGTTTGCATAATTCATTCTTGTGTGTGTGTGTGTGTGTGTGTGTGTGTGTGTGTGTGTGTGTGTGTGAGAGAGATTTTAAATGCTGCATTAACTTAAAACTGTGGAACACAGCAAACCCCTAAAGCCTCGCAGTGTTTTGATAAAGAAGGCAGCAGAATTTTAATACTTTAGCAGATTTCTGTATTTTCTTTTTTTTTCCAGCTCTGTTTACGGGTATTGACTTCTTTTAAATTTTTGTGTGTCTCAGAAGCAAAGTGTGTTTTTGATTGTGGAGATGATAAAATCACTGGCAACACGAGCAACCACACAATGTCCAAATGGAAATGTGGCCAAACAACCAGTTTTACTCTGAGACAGTGAGTGGTATGAATTTAGAGATTTGGTTGTGACTCCCACTGGTGTGTACGGGAAAACAGACGCCATTCCTCTCTCAGCCCCAGACAGGCCGTCTTCAGACCAGGTTAACTTCAGGGATGATATGAGATTCAGTTAAAGTAAATTATCCTGGGCCCATAGCACCTGAGTCAAACAACAAAAACGAAGCATGTGTGCAGTAAATTAAATTGGGAAATATCTAACAAAAGTCCTGAGGTCTTATCTGGCTGAGATTTTATCCTGGTGTCCTTTGTCCTTATTAAAATTGTAATTTTTGGTCCTCTTGGTGCTAGTAGATAACTAGAACGGCAAAGTTTGAGAGCTGTGTGACACTCCACATTTTGGTATCGATCCGATACCAAGTAAATACAGGGCCAGTATCGCAGATACAGATTCCGATACCTATACTGTATTTTTAAATGTTGATCTATCTCAGAGGTTCCCAAAGAAAAAGTTTGGGAACCACTGATCTATCTTCACATTTCTGACCTTTATGTGTTTTTATTGTTTTTCTCTGAATTAATTTGTGACAACCTGCAACAGAATTTGGACAAAATGTATATCTGCGAAATACTTTAATAATGTAAACGGAAACAACAGAACAACTAAACAAATATGTGTACAGTTTTTTTTCCCTAAATAAAGTGCAGAAAATTATGATGCAAGAGCAAATCGAAACAAAGTCTTTTGTGTGGTTCAGCAACGAAACTACAATACAAAAATTTAAAAAGTTTCAAGTGTTAGTGCAAAACTAAATGTTCAGTTTTACCACGCCAGTATCAAACCGATGCTTATATAAACTTGGTATTGATATCAACATTTTTGGATCAGTCCGTCCAACCTCATTTCATGTCCTGACAACGTTCTTTTGCAGAAAACTATACATTTACTCCAGTTGGTTTCAGAACCGCTTTGGGGTCAGGGGTCAGCCTCTGCCTCAAGCGGGGAAAATGAAGTGTCTTGTTTATGTCATGATCCGTGTTTCTGTGTATTTATATTAAGGTTTTTCTGTGTTCAGTTTCTGTCCTGTGAGTCTCTGTTGTTTCTGCGTCTTCCCCGTTGATTGATCCCAGCTGTGTCTCGTTCCTGTGATTACCCTCCCAGTGTATTTAGACCCACCTGTTGTCTTGGTCTCTTGTCGGGTCCTTGTCCTGTTGTATGTCGAATCTCATTTGTAGTTTGTCTGCCAGCCTGCCATCAGTCGTACTGTAAAGTCCTGTGTTGGTTAGCTCTCTTATTCAGTCCTCAGTTTTTCAGTTGCTACCGGTAATTAGCTGTGCGCTAACTCTCTGCCATGCCACCTGTGTTGGACTGTGTTTGAGCTCTCTTATTAAATCATCACCATCATCTGGGTCTCTGCACTCATTTTCACCACTACAAACTCACCACCTCATAACAGTTTACAATTGATGGTAGGATGAAGGGGAAGATAGATGGATAGACCTAGTGAGGCGATGCTCAAGTCTGTTCCAGTAAAGAAAAAAACAGAAATAAAAATTAAAGGCCTGGGCTAGTTATCTAACTTGTTAGCTAGGCCTGGCCATGGCCAAACTAGCTAGTTTGACAGCTAGCTAGCAATGCTGTTCCAGTAAAGAATAAAATAAGTGAAGCTCTTAAATGGAAGTTTGTGGCTGTAATAGGACTAAAATTTGAAAAAAATTGAATACCTTTGCCAGACAGTTTATTTTGTAAATAAATATGTAACATTTCTGAACAGCTGACTTTCATCTGGTGTGTGATTTGGCAAGTTTTATAGTTACTGAAGAAAAGCTGAGCAGTTTAGTATCCACTACTTTCTATCAGTGGACAGTAAAGATGCTGTTAGGCCACATTGTCACATGAATAATCTTCATCACTTCTTGTCTGTGTGTGTGTGTGTGTGTGTGTGACAGATGAGGGCCAGACAGTGTGTGGCTCACCGGCTGACATGCAAGGTCGCCGTCTGAGCGAGGTGGGCATCCAGCTGCGGACGTTGTGTCACCAGACACTGGACTCCTGGGACTACCTTTTTTTCGTTGTCATCGGCTTCGTCATCTTCGCCGCCGGGACGGTGTCGGCGTGGCTGATGGGCGTCGTCATGGTGCTGTACGAACGCTACATCAAGAAGAAGGACGATCAGCTCGAACTGGAGAATGAGGAGGAAGGTATTGAGACGATTGGTGCACCTAGAGGCAGAACAGAGCGGGGCAACAGGAGCTTAAAAACTTCACATACTGTTTGAAAGAATCCGTCCACCATGGACTCCCGCAGTGCCTCCTGTAACACACCTCCACGGCTGTCTGTGAAGTCTGACAGTAAATCTTGGCTTGCGAACGGAAAATGGATGAGGAATGTCTTTCTATTCTAATCATTTGTAGGGCACTTTCTGGGGATGAAACAGGTTTCTTTTTTTTTTAGTCTCCATGCTGGAGGTCCCCATAGCTGGGTGATACATAAACCTTAATATGCAAATGTACGAATCTGTATGTTGTATAAGTCTATGCTGTGTTGAGTGGGAATTGGATTTGTTGAGCAGGAAGGAAGTGTGAGTTGGTAAAACTGGTATTAATAGACCAGTTTGGTGTTTCTTTAAATCTTTTGTGCATCCACACTCGGCTTATTTTATATTTCAGACTTTTTGCCTCTAAAGTCTTCTGAACTAGTTTTACATTACTATTTTCTATGATGCTAAGCGTTTTTGCGTCTTCAATGTGAAGCACTTCAATAATCTCCTGTTTCTTTAAGGAAACTTCTGTTTCCAGAAGGCACAGTCTGACTTGAAGGGACTGTGCAACGGGATAGTTCAGGATGTTTGGAATGAGTTTAGGCTGAAACATTATCAGCAATTAATATCTTTGCGTCTAAATTTCACATCAATCCAGATTTAGCTGGTTTTGTCATTACCAACAATCCAGAAAAGGCCCAAGGCTGAGACAGACTTTTACAGACTGAATACAACTCCAATTTCAAAATGTTATATCAGTTTATAAACACATTTTTGCTTTAGAAGAAACACAGGAAAGGGTGACTGGAGGCAGCGCATCCCTGATTATCTTCCTGCATGAAACATGTTGAGAATAGATCAACACAGTGATTGAGGTCAGATTAACAGTCAGAAAGGAAAGAAATGCAGTGTAAAAATAATAAAATAGCATTTAGTCAAGCTGCTTTATTAAGCTACATAATATTGTGTTACTATATGCCATCCAGTATGAAACGAGGTAGCGGTGCTCCACTCATTGTCTTCTTCTGTAACTCATTATTGCAACTTTATGTATATACAAAATGAACATTGTGGTTTAACTTATTTTTTTAATTAATAGACATTTGCATAATTACTTTTATGTAAAAATTGCCTTTTGAAACTTATCACATTTGAGGAGGAAGATTATTTGTGACGCACCGCCTCCAACCTCCATATCTGCTGAAATATTCATAGGCTTCTCTGTAAATATCAAACCTGAAAATTGTGTAGAAGGTCATAAGATAAATGTCAAGTAAACATGACAATTTTGAGATTGGAGTTTAGGATTATGCGGCCTTGGCGCCTCTCAGATTTGGCCGTATGGCTTCGAAATCTGGTCCAATAAATCTGGATTTTAATCAGTTGAAGATTTCGAGACGTACTGCAGGTAAGACATTAGCTGCTGATGATGTTCTTTTAGAATCTCACATCAGAAGTCCTGAACGATCACTTTCATCTGATGTGATGTAAAAGCCTGGAAGGTTATTGGTGATGCATGAAAGACAGGAAGAAAAGCCTAAACTACCAATGAACTCTTTGAATATTGACTTCCGTATGAGGAACTTTGTATACTTTAGTCTCTGCACGTTGTAACTTCTTACATAGTCTAGAAGCAATACAAGTAACTGATGGGAAGCACTGAAAGGTTTAGTTCCCCCGGAGGTGACACACACACGCTAATAATCTAATATTTTTTTGGTCTGTCTGCAAACATGTTTGATACCACGAAATTTACTCTGATTAGCATAATGCGAGTTGTAAAGTTTGAATAAAAAGCAAAGGTCTTTTTTTAAGCATACTGAAATGTTTGCCTTGCTCATAATTCATTGTTTGCTGACCATCTTGTCCCGTGAGAAATAAGAACGGAATATTATGAGGTGGCAACACTTTTTTCCAAGTTTTCTTGCTACCGCTGGATTTCTTGTAAATATAACAAGTAAGATTATTTTGCTACTGTCATTTTTTTCCAACATGTGCAGGATGTTTCAAGCGGACCAGATTTTGAGTTGAATCAGCCACAGACAAAATTTGTCCGTTCAAATAATGGAACTGAATGACTTTAAATTGTTTGTTTTAAAGTCAACTCAGTTCATTTTGGTTTTAATTGATGTATTGATATTGGGACAGGCCTTAGTGTGTGTTCCAACAATAATCTCAGATAAATGGAAGACGGACGGATGGATGAATTTGAACGTAAGAAAATCAATACACTCTCCTGTTGACTGTGTAAATGACATAAGCGACAGCAAAAAGCAAAATTCTAGTTAAACTCTTCTCAGCAAATACTTATGCATAAACGGATATTTTCCTTTCAGCTGTAGCCAAACAGTAACAGGTTGGGGGGGGGGGTTATCAAATGAATGTGGGCGCTGTTGATGGATGATTCAGACGCCGTTTTCTCGCTTGAAAAGCGAGCGCAATTCCAGAGGCAGATATTGTTGAGAGCCTCGATGGATTCTAATATTACAGATACAAAACAATAATATTGACTCAAGCAGGAAAAAGGAAAGGTGGAAGTAAAGGTATTTGATTCCAACCTCTGCTAAAAACAGTCTGAATCTGTCTACAAATCTGGGTTTTTTTTGGTTGTTCTTCCTCCTTATATAAAGGGGTGATCCTGACTCATCATAGTTTGTATAACTATGCATGGACCAATTTAGGCATAATGGTGTGGCGCGCATAGCAGGATGTCAAAATGTCAAGCAGAGGTCTGTATGTTGCCGACATGACTGGTGATTAGGAACGCCTGTGAGAAACGCAGTCACTGACTCGCTGATTGCTGTTAACGCTTCGGGCATTTACACAGCCTGCTTTTTTTTTCTTCCTTTTTTTTTAAATGTTGCATAACACGCATGTCTGTACTAAACTCTCATCTACAGTGGATATAAATAATGTGCACACCATTGTCAAAATGTTAGGTCATTGTGTTGCCAAACAAAAAAGAGAGACCAAAATATATTAATGCAGAACTTGTTCTATTAATAGCCTTACAATCTATACAGCTGTAGTTGCAAGCAAACTTTTTGGAGGTAATAATCACTATGTAATCATAGTTACTATGTAATCATCTTTCAGTTTTGGGGACAAGGTTGTCCCATCAAACCACACACACACACACACACAAAAACTTCAAAAGCGCACACAGGGTCAGTGTGACCCCACCAGACCGTGGAACGAGTAAAAAGCTTGTGGGGTCGAAATGACCGCCTTTTAAGACCACGGAAGGGTTAAGGATGTTTCCACACCTGAAGTGTTAAATCAGCGTCTTTTTTTGTGCTGATGTGAACACATCCATTGCACCAAACAAAACTGTCGGAAAAGTACTGTCGGATTTTGAGAATACGATATAAACAACTGTAAAGTTGGTTTGGAATCGCACCAAAGATGCCTCCTCCAAACTGACCTCGGACCTCGGTAAGGTCCCGAGTGGTTCATTTATGATATGAACGACCTCAATCCGACACATCGGTGTCCACTGAAGGGTTGAGTTAAAAGTGTCCAGGTATGCTCTGCATTGTGGGATACAAACTAATGAACAAAGGCTGTGCATCTTTCAAGACATCTTCTCAAAATCCGTACAAATACTTTTAAGGTAATTACACCTAAGACGGTACCCAGAAACACACTTACGAGATGATAAAATATTTTGTATCAGCTAGAATATACAACATTCAAACCAAAGTAAACTGCATGAGAATGTCCTTAGTCTCTTCATCAGTTTCTTCAGTTCTTGGTGGTGTCACTGTGAATTTCTCCTCTCTCAACCTCTTTGGCAGATGATGACTGTCCCACATAATATCTAAATTCTTTTGTATCCCTCTACTAACAGGAACCTTCTGACAGTGGCGTTCCTCTGATGCTCTACAAACTTTCTGTTGCGACAAAAAAAAAAAAAGACGTTAGGAAAACCCCTCCTAGACCTGTTGGACTTTCCTTGGGGTCGGTCACAGGCACTCTGAATCATGGCCATGATTATTGCACACTTACATGGACTTTTTCATTTTTCTTTTCTTTTTCTTTTTCATTTGCACGTCTATCCTGAATTCCCATACATATCAGCATAAATATATAATCGTCAGACGTACGAATGAGTGAGGGCGTATTATTGTCTCGATGGAAAATGTGGTGCCAGAGGCAAGGGTGATACTGCGGGCTGGAACGAGAACTGGCAGGTGACCTAATTTGTGTGAGCACAGAGATATATGGATGGACAGGGAATGCCCAAATCTACCCCACATAAAAAAATGGAATAAGGATTTCTAGAGTGTACAGTATGGAGTACCAGCCCTCATACTGCAGACTATCATGGATGTTGTACCCATGAGAGTTTACTAACACCCACAGTTTTCATGTAATTTTGCTCAAAAACCGCATTTCTGTGGTGTTGTCTATGTGCACCAAGCTGAGTGCGCAGTGAAACGGATGTGAGCGCATATATCTTTGTGAGCAAAGAATAATTGGTGGCATCGTCTTTATAACTCACTTGATTGCTAATTCACATTGTTATTCCTCACGTATGGAATACTGAGAAGGCCAAATTTCATTTCATTTGTCCTTAATATGTTGGTAACACAAAAAGCATATGTAAATGAACCACACCAATGACAGACAATTTTTTTTTATCCAATCAGGGTATTCTTCAGAGGAAAAAGAACCAATCACAATCAACAAGTCAAAATACTCCAGGAAGTGACAAATTACAAAAAACAAAACAATAAAAATGGTAGGATTTTTGAAAAACACAAGAAAACGTGATGCATTTTAATTCTGTAGCCTAATAAGATGTAGTTAAGCAAATAAATATGCTTACTTTGTGTATTTCAGGTAACATTTCTACATTTATTGAGCTACTACTCTATGATGCGATCCTCCAGGTCAGCTCACAAACCCCTGCACCTTCGAAAAGCGTGCTACACCACTGCACAGTGGGAATTATTTCAGTCAGGACTGTTTTCACATGTATACTCCAATTATACTGCAGGACTTTTAGTAACAGTTATATTAAGTGGCTAAACTAAATTTCAGTATTATGCACTTTTAACTCCCCCTCAGCTTTCCCCATATTTAGGCACATGTCTGAATGTGCTTTAACACACAGACCTGAAAGCATCAGTCCTGCCTCCAGCGTGAATCACCTCTGGATGGAACATTGTGTAAAAGGACTATCGCAGGCCAGAACACCCACACTGTAAACATCTAGCTGTGAAGTTTAACCGTGATCATCTGTTGCCTTTCTGAACGTGGAAACAGCAACTTCCATGTTGTTCTGCTAAAGCTGAAGCCGGCAGCTGGTTAGCTAGCAGGAAGAGAAATAAACAAGCTAGGCTAGCTCGATTACTAATTCGAGAAAAGAGCAATTTTTTCAAATGAACCTGAATAAAATCTACCTAACAGGAGTTGTAAAGCTCACTTTGTAACTTTAATCTTCTACTTTATGGTGAAAAGCGCTAACAGTAAAAGTTAATCATCGTTGTGGTCCCAAACCACAAAGATTGAACTGAGAAGTTCAGAGGTCACACATTTTTTTCTTTTGTGTGGATAATATGTGGATAATAGTGAATAAATGAATTGAGTGTAGTCTATAGTAATGTGAGCAAAACAACAATCTGTCTCAGTGAAGAAAGTAAATAAGTACATTTCTGCCAAAAACTTTAAAACTTTTACATTAAAATTTTCTAGAAAAAACAAGAACATTTCTGAGCTCCAAAATTGAAGTGTATTAGAACAAACTCAGAAATGTCCTTTTTTTATTTTTCTAGAAAATTTCTGAGATTATTCCCCAGATTCCTGAGTTCTTTGGCAGAATTTTCCTCCTTTTTTTCTATCTACATTGGCCCTAACAGAGCGTCATACAAAACTCTAACCATCGTTTTTTTTGTTTTTTTTTTTAAGTCCAGCGAATCCATTGCCATCTGCATAGAATAAACCAATATGTTCATTTCTGACTTAAAAGCGTGAGTGAGAAAGTTGCAAATACATAAAGGATACCATCCAGAAACCAAAACACGGGAGCCTGGAGGTTATTGGCGACAAGCAGGGTATGAAAAATGGTGTTTGTATTTTCAGCCGGGGTCGTGGTTAGAATGTGCTTCGGGACTAAGATGTACTCAGCTGGCATTGTTCACCTCAGCAGCGAGGCTTTGGCTGTGAGCCTGCTTCAGAGAATGGAGGAAGAAAAATGCAAACAGTTATCAGATCCAGATTTTCTCTGCTTAACTCAGTTCTACAGCGGTATGAAACGCCCTGCAGTCAGGAAATGTGACATCTGGTTAGAGTGGATCTAATTGTCTGACAAATCGATTTAGAAACATGCTCTCTCACACACACTGTAGGAAAATGTGTTGTGTGAGTGAGGTGTTGAGGAATTATACACTGAAGTTGTAGAACCTGGATCCATCTGTTTCAGTCATTTGAGAGAGATTTCATCATTGATCTGTTCCACTTATAAACGATAACATGACTCTCAGCAGGGTCCAACCCCGACACACAGCTGCACTAAACTGGAACAGGAACACTCAGGAAAAGCTGCAACAGCTCAGTTTCATGTATATTTTATGGTTGAAACTTGCAAAAAATATTCACACTTTCACATTTTGTGACATTAAAATCACAGACTTATTTATTGTATTAGGATCTTACACTGCAAATTGCAAAATCTTCAGTAATTTTGGTCTAGTTTCTAGTGCAAAACTCTTAGTAGACTTGAGATAAGACATTAACTTCCAAGTAACTTTCCAGCAAAAAATATGTTTGTTTTATGTCAATAATTTAGTAATATTGTTGAAAAAGTAGTTCCATAGGCAATTCTTTCAGGCACAATATGGGGAAAATGTCTTGGTCAAAGTTAGTTTCCATGGTGATGCATGCTTGTTATTTCTGGTCCTTCTGGGTTTAGACTGAATGGGCCTCCAGCGGAAAAGTTGCACTGCATTTGCTTAGCGGTATCGAAGTAAAATGGGGCCTGAAGACAAATGCACATCATACTTTGTCTATTGTGAACTATTAAGCTTTGTGTTAGTCTGGCAGATAAAACCTCATTTAAAAACTCTTCCAGTTTGTGTTTGGAACGTGCAAGGGACGTGAATACTTTCGCAATCTCTCGACTCTTGAATTTTTTGTAATTTCGCTGTGATTCTGCTGGAAATTGAGAGATACATACACAAAAAGTAATTAGTTTTTTTTTTTTTTTTTTTTTGGGTGGTGGTGGTAATTT